GTGTATGTAGGTAAGGTCAATATGTATGGGGAGAATACAATGCAACGTGAGAGAATAACAATAATCAAATAAAGATTTACAATAAAAGTGGGTGGAAAAACGATTAGCATTAAAAATGAGATCATATTTAGGGCCGAACAATACTACTGCCCAAAAACTTTAATTAAGTCGCTTTCAAAGCGCACTCGATGACGGGGCTCACCGTTTTCTCTTCTAGCAAAAACTTTACCTTGCCTTGTCCAGACATACTTCCAATTATTGCGTTTCGCTTCTGTACGTACTTTATAAAATAGTTGACGATTATGTCTGGTTAGCCTTTCATTCACATAGAAGGGACAGTCGACGGAATTGAGTCCCAGACCAACTGTAGTGCAGCTTCGACGGACTCGCGCCGCTGCTAGCAGACTATCGCGATGAACACGGCGTGCCAGCCGCACTACGATGGGACGTGGCCTAGATGTCTCATTCTGCTCACGCCTCAAAAGGCCTGCACGCTCTGCACTTACTATATCGCGATCTTCTAGCGCTACACCTAATTTAGTTGCTACTGCCAAAACAATATGTGTAGAACGTTCATTTTTGTCTTCAGGTATTCCCGAGACCTCGATATCATTGCTTAAGAGTTCCTGGTCACGGTCATTAAGCTCAGTTTTGAGATCCGTAATTGTTTTCTCGAAAAATGATATGTCATTGGACGTCTTTATCTGCGAATTTTTCTCCACCACCTCCATTCGTGCCTCCAGGCAGTCAAGTCGCTGATTGCACGCATTTATTGCGGTAAGCAGGTTGGTCATCGTTCCCCTAAACTCTTGCATATCATTACGCATTTCTTTGATGTCTTGGCGCAATAGTTTTAAGTCATTTGCTAGATCACTAGTTGGCAAATCAGGTGTTGATGATGCGGATGTTGAAATGGCCGTAGATTTCAGCTTTTCATTCGTGCGACTACGCAGAGTCACATTTGTACGTCCGATGTCTTGGTTGCTATTTGGTGACAATTGCAGGTTGTGTTTTATTGGTGTGTTGGTATTGTCAGTCTTAGGTTCATTGCTTCTACATTCCTGACATTTCCAGTTTTTCTTATTATCTGCTGACATAATATAAAACCGCTTTTCTGACACGTTTGTGCAAGGAAGATCATAATATTTACAACAAACATGACATTTTAAATATTGCTTGTCGGTTATTTCTTGCGAACAACCATTGCATTGAATTTTATTTGGTACTAGTGGTGCCATCTCTTCCTGCACGTATGCAAATCAAATGAAAACGGTGACTTTATCGACTTTACGACGTTTTGTAACAAATGTCTATGGATGATTCTAGATGGCGTTGTTTCAAACAAATAAAATTTGAAAGGATTCAAACTTAAATTAACGGTCACCCAGAAAGAATAACTTTTGTAATATTATCTTCCTCGATCAGATTTTGAAGTTCACTTGAATTTAACAGTCCAGAACCAATACTTACAACTTCGATTATAGTCTTGTTCCAAAACAAAATACAATTATTCGATTAAATATTTTTCTGCTAATTATCACAAAATATTCACACACACACGACAATATTCGTTGAAAACACTTTCACAGCTCAATTGTATCAAAATGCACTGATTGTAATAACTTTTAGATAAAATAACTCATAAATACTATTTTTAAACAAATAATTTTACAGAGCCAATGTTACTTGAACGAATGCACGCCATCTAACTCCTTTTTCCCCAATTTGATATGATTTTGTTGTGTTTTCTCATACCATATTAAAAAAAGAAGTAAAAACAGTACCAATATAACATGATTGATGATGAAGTATTTTACGGATAATGACAGAATATAGTCATTTAAGCTTATCAAGCGTTTCAGTGCTACGAATAAAGATAGCTTCGGTTGTATCAGATTTCCACATGTAAAATGTAAATGCGACCAGCACGAATCCAGGTGTATTTGTACTTAAGCTCTTTCCCACGTTTACGAGCTGCAGCATGCAGCTGCTTATTTTCGGGGAGAGGTTCTCAAGAATAAAGACAGGTTTCTTTTCATCTGTGTCGAAGCCAAGGTCTTGGGTGTTGAGGTTGTTCTCCTTGTTTAATTTGTTATACCTGTTTACTGCAGAAAGCACCGAATCTCGAATTCGTGATGTACTAAACTTCACTATAATTGTACGTGGTCTGGGACTGGCAGGGTTGAGCTTGGCGATGCGCGAACAGTACAGAATATCATGGTCACTCATTGTATGTTTAATGACGCATCCTAGTTGTTTTACTATGCTTATAAACCAGGGTCAAAGCCGTCAAAAATAATTAAAAACGAAAAAAAATTGAAGTAGGATGAAACCTATTGGAAAAGGAAGGGAATACCACTAAAATGATAGGAAAAATAAATTACGGGCGATCTGAGGTTGGGGTAGGGGGGGGGGAGTTTTTAAGGGTAAAAATCGGTAAATCTCGATTTCCGGCAAAACTACAAGCCCTATCGAAAAAAGTTCAATGGAAAAGTTGTAGATAAAAAATTCTATCTATAGTTTTTCTCCATAACCTCAAAATTCATGTGAAAAATCCAAAAAACCACATTATTGATTTTTTATTTTTATCTTTTACAAAAAAAATTGTTTTTTTTTTTCATGATATTTGGTGAAAACTTTACCTCTTTATGTCCCAAACACACTGGAATTTTGAAGATTTAAAATAATAATTTTTTCACCCTATTTTGACTCGATATCGAAAAAGCACCCTAATTTTCAATCGAAAATTCTCACGTCAAAATATCTGATTTTTCAAAAAAGTCGGTGGGCTCTTTGTTCGTTTATATCTCTATTTTCTGATGGTGTAAAAAAATATACATTACTATTGAAAAAATTTTCAGAAAATTCAAAAAAAAAACTAAAAATACTAATATTCGAATTTTTTTTTAAAATCTTTATGTACAATTTTGAGGTATTCATTAAAATTTTTACTTTAATTTTGATTGTCTAATAATGAATTAACGATAGTTTTCTTTCCTTTTCCGGCAAATCCGAAGGTCTCTCAGGTATATAGGTATCATTTTAAAATAGCAATAAATAGGCATCTACGCATATAATTTAAAGAAAATTCGACAAATTTCTCAAAATTTTGTAGATGTCATATTAAATATTAACCTTATTTAGTTGTTAATTATAGTAGTACATTTCGACATTTCGAATTTTTTGTTTATTAATCTAACATGGAACCTAACGTTTTTCGAGTAATTAAAGAAAATTTTTAATGAATGCCTCAAAATTGTACATAAAGATTAAAAAAAAATCGAATTTTAGTATTTTTCGTTTTTTTGCATTTTCTGAAAAAAAAATTCAATGGTAATGTATTTTTTTACACCACCAGAAAATAGAGATATCAACGAACAAAGAGCCCACTGACTTTTTTTTGAAAAATCAGATATTTTGACGTGAGAATTTTCGATTGAAAATTAGGGTGCTTTTTCAATATCGAGTCAAAATAGGGTGAAAAAATTAATATTTTAAATCTACAAAATTCCAGTATGTTTGAGACATAAAGAGGTAAGTTTTCACCAAAAATCATAAAAAAAATTTTTTTTTTGTAAAAGATAAAAATCAAAAATCAAAAATGTGGTTTTTGGATTTTTCACATGAATTTTGAGGTTACGGAGAAAAACTATAGAACAAAAGTAGACTTTTATATCTACAACTTTGCCATTGAACTATTTCGATAGGACTTGCAGTTTTGCCGGAAATCGAGATTTACCGATTTTTACCCTTAAAAACTCCCCCCCCCCCCTACCCCAACCTCAGATCGCCCGTAATTTATTTTTCCTATCATTTTAGTGGTATTCCCTTCCTTTTCCAATAGGTTTCATCCTACTTTAATTTTTTTTTCGTTTCTAAAATTATCGACCCTTGTCTAATACAACATTCTCCGTTTTTTTTTTCGGGCACGCACTGTATCTCCAAGGAAGATGTACGGGGAAGTTGATCTATTTGGTTCAATTTATTATTGAGGGTGTTAACACCTTTGCTATTTCCTCGCGAAGTAATTCTTATAGTTCCGAACGACACACATAATCACTTGTATTATCTTGTACAATTATATTAGTATCTAGTTTTGCAGGCGCCTTGCGTCGGGACACATTATGAAACGAAATCTCGGCAAACGATGTAGGTGTTGAGGGGCGAGCTACAGATTCCGAGTTGTTACGCTTCAGTTGTTTAATAATACACATAGGGCAAGTCCAGTTAGATAATGCGTCTGGAAGTAAGCCTGCAATATTCTCCGGGCGTATGTTAAGGCATAAAAAGTGAAATATTTCGCTACATTTTGCGCATTGCAAGTGATCTTTGCCGACTTCGCGGGTACACGCTGAACAATTCTTCATAATGACGGCGCACTATAGGTTAAAATTAGATAGAGACAGCAATTATGCAAGCCCTCTCTTATCGTAGCGGTGAGGAACGCGGGCACCCCGCTCGCTTGTTGCGTCCGCGAACTGTCAACACCCTTGATTGTGACTATTAAAAAACACTGAATAACTTCAAGGAATACTGATCACAAACTGCACTGCTTTTACTTGGTTTTATTGCGATATTTGCGTAATCAAATAAATAAAATAATTGAAACGATCGAACACACATCCGCCTCGTAAGAAGTTTCTGTGGAGTAACTACGTGAGACCGTTCTCCTTACCTCCACACTCCATGGTTGTAGATATACGGACTGCAAAACTCACAACTACAGGGCAAAAGTCGTGAGTTTGAGATCACTATTTGACAACTTTTTTGAACCACTTGCAGAAGAATCAATTATAACTCATAATTGTGATAAAATTTGTGACAGATTTTTTTTTCAATATATTGTTAATAAATTAATGTATGTTGTAAACTTTATATCATTTATGGTTTTTCGATGCCCTTTTTGTCAGTATTAAATATAAACGCAAACTTATTCGTGTGCGTTTTTATTTGATACTGTTGTCAAACTGTCAAACGCTTAAAACTGTTCCCTTTATTAGGTATACCTTTGACGTTCTTGAAGAGACAACAAAGGTTTGGAGCTATTGAACCACAACAGGGTAAGTTTGAGTTAATGTATTATTAATTTTTCTCGATTATGAGTATGATCTAGATTATAATGACAAACGTATGACAATGGGTGCGTTTGGCAGAAAAAAGCGCTAGCAAGCGCTTACAAGCGCTAAAATAGTTTTCGGGCAGGACACGATTGCTACTTCAGTAGCGCTGACACAATCCGCCATTTTGCTTATTTAATTTGTTTGTTTTGAAGTAGAGTTTTAAGTTGTTTTGTGAAATATTAGTTTTAAGTAATATAATGACATGAATAAACATATACATGTTATTAAAAATTCATGATTGGTAAGTTTTTAATATGAATACTTTACAAACATATATTTAAATTAGGTTAGGTTCCCGGTTAAAACTAACATCGTGTCCTAGAGGAAAATAGCTACTTACGATTTGACAGCACTTACCGCTTACGATCGCCATTTTGTTTACAAGCGCTTGCTAGCGCTTTTTTCTGCCAAACGTATGACAATGTTAATTGTATTTGCCTGTCAATGCCATAAAAAATATTTTTATTGTTATAAGCATTTTTTTAATTTTTTGCATATAAAATTTAATCTAGTTTTTCTGTAAGCCACAAGAGTTTTTGTATTAAATAAAATAAAAAGTTAAAAAATTAATACTTACTTATCTCATACATAATGAGTTATAATGCTATAAATTCTAGGGAAAATACAAGAGGAATTATTATTATCAATTATTCCACTTTTTATTACGGGTTTTAAATTTTTATGAATAAAACGCATTCACTATCTATATCAACACAAATAAATAAAATTTAAATGTCTGTTTGTAATGTCAAAATAACATGTTTTTACTAAATGCATATATATGGGCTAGTTATAACAAAAAAACAATTTAAAAAATTTTTGTCTTTCTCTGTCCGTCTGTCAGTTTTTCTGTATGTATGTTTGTTCCGGCAAATCTCCTAAATGGGAGCAGCCCGCAATAGCTGATGTTATAAGGAGTAACTTACTTTTTTACAAAAACAATTGGGTACAAAAAAATCAAAACGCATGAAATCCGCCCTTAATAAATTCCACGCGGACGAAGTCCCGGAGAATAGCTAGAAAAATAATAAATGTGTGTTTCATCCATAGAATACTATAATACACAATAGAATGGCTGTCAACTTTATTTTGTACGAGGATTGGCGACGCCAAACCCGATTCGCTGTGTTGACAGACCGAATAAATTTACACATTTTAGACTTTTGATTAATGTACATCATTAAAATTAATTTTTTTTAAATGTGTTTTCTTTTTGAAAAAAAAATATTTTTATACGCTTGGATACTGATACTGATAACGCAGTTAACGGGAACCACAGAGTTTTTGTTATATGTTGTATATTTCTTAAACAGTTTCTTACTATTTAAGACAAAAACATTTTTTTATTTTTGAAAATCAATATTTTTTTAGTATTTAATTTCAAATTCGAAACGTTATATCCAACAAGCATACAATTTTAAAATCTTTCAGATTACGATTCGCCAATGGCTCAATCTTCATTTTACGCCATACCAGATCAGTCAACATTTGCCCAGCAGCCTATAACTGATAATTTTGAAGGTCCTCAATTTGGCACCAATACGCCAATGTTCGTTCAAACTGAAATGCAGGAGACGATGCATTCCCAGGTTTACTCACCGTCAGATCTTTTTACGGAAGGAGGGCGGGATGAATCTAACAAAGTTGATGAAGGTAAGGCATAAAATATGTCAAGTATATAATTACAGTATAATATATGCATTAATCTCGTGTTCTCTTTAACCATGTAGTGGACGAAAATATCCGCTATATATAGCTATATATAGCGGCCCGTAGGTGACGTAGCGTAGGAGGCGACAGACGGAACCTGAGACAAGAGATAGAGAGAGATAGATGATAACATCGCAAAATAATAAAATAATGCAGCGACTACAACTACTAAAATAATGCTGCCCGCCTGCCAAGCGTGCCAACCATAGCATAATTTCTCCCTACGAGCAATATGTGGAATGAAAAGGGGAGATCTCCCGCAGTGTGTATAGTACAGAGCTATTCTATACTGGATGACCTTTACTTACCATCTGGAAAAAAATGGGGTGTAACATATGAACGGAGTAGAAGTGCCTATGGCACCGATATTTTACAAAAAATAAAAACAAAAATTTTGAATTAAACGTTTGAAAAAATTTTTGGACAATTACTTTACCCTGTGTCCTTGAGCCTGTGACCCTGCGAAGTGACAAGGTCAGAGATGCCTACTAAATTTATTGTTTTAACACCGGTGTATAGGATTGGAACTTCGATAGATTTTAATTAATTTATTTATTGAATTCAAAATATTTGTTTTTATTTTTTTGTAAAATATCAGTACCATAGGCCTCTACTCCGTTCACATGTTACACCCTATTTTTTCCAGACAGTAAAAAAGGTCATCCAGTATCTACCGCAGTACTTCAGAACGTTAATGGATGCGATTATTCAGAACCGGTGCGTCTCGCTTGTGACACGACGCCAGCGCCGCCACAAATCTAGGGGAGGCCTTTGTTCAGCAGTTGATTTTTTTAGGCTGTAATGGATGATTTTTTTTTAGAATAAGGGTGACTAACGAGCACACAGTCCACCTGAGGGTAAGAGGATGCTGTGGCCTATAAAAATCTACATTTATCTTCGATTAAGAATCAAAACATAGATGCGTTGTCACCCCTACAAAGGACAAAGATGGAATGCCTCGTTTCTAGTAAAAAAAAGGGTCTCCGGATCTCTACATCCACCATTCGAAACACAGCAGTATTAAGCTGCTATTTTACGCTGGTTTACTGTGAGAGAGTGGTCCTTCCCCGGTCGAGCCGACCCATTCGTACTACAACCATAATATAGCTGCAGCGTGGCATTACCACGTATAATTGAATGGACATTAATGCTGTTGGTAACAAATAAATAGTTTTTTTTAGTAATTAGTAATTTTAAATACAGTTTTAATCAAGGAAAACCTGCAAGTGGCAAAATAATGTATTTAGAACATTGAAGATTGAGGCAGCTCTTTAGACTCATATCTGTTCCAAAGCCTTCGCAATAAGAGCCGTAACTTTACTTCTATTATATATTTCCCATTTAGAGAAAAAGTCTTCTTTATATGCTATTTTGGATTATTATTTATTTTAGATATTCGCGAAGGTTCGGCATCCCCCGATAATTGTCAGCCAGGAGAGAAGCGTCTCAGCGCATTCAAACGTCTTGGGCCGCTTACTCAGCCGAAGAAACCAAAGTTGACAATCAACCTGAGTTTCGATAAGGAACAACCCATTCGGTAAGATAAATCATTAATACATTGTTATAATTTCACTTTTTTCCTATTCTCGTGTAAGCACGTACATATTTTACTACGAGTTCGCTGTTTTGATTTCGCATTGATGTTATCATCTCTCTCTGACTCTGGCGCAGTGATTAGCATTAGACTCAAATTCCACACGGAACAAGTATTTGTGGTCAACGTTACAGCCTTTCAAAAATCCCCTTTTCCTTTATAACGTGGTAGAGCCACGCTACAGCTATATTATAGTTGTAGCACGAATGGGTCGGCTCGACCGGGGCAGGATCACGCTCTCACAGAATACCAGCGTAATGCTGCTGTGTTTCGTATGGTGAGTGTAGAGAACCGGTGACCCTTTTTACTGGAATCGAGGCATTCCATATTAGTCCTCAGGAGTGACAACGCATTTGAATTTTGATCCTTAGTTGAAGATTCAGCATTCACTTACTATCAGGTGGACTGTGTGCCCATTTGTCACCAAATGCTATAAAAAAACACTTGAACTTAGGCTTGCCCGTAGATAGTCTAATAGTGCTATATTTGCCATTGTTGCCACGGTGGCTGGTAGATAGTTTTTATTTTTTAGTTATTACGAAGACGTTGCTGCCTATCTCCTGGTTTGTGTCTTTCTGTCGCCACTTACGACACCTACGGGACGATGTGGGACGGTGTGATGTTTGTCTTGGCTACATATAATTGTTCCGGGTCTAGATGTTTGTCTTACTCTATAATTTCAAACATCTGTGGCGGCGCTGTCGTCGCGCCACAAACGAAACACATCGAAGTCTAAATCGCGCTATCAAAGTTCCGTAGTAAAACAGTATATATAGAATAGCTCCGAATTATCACAGGAGCGTTGGCTGCTGCTCAAGTAGAACACCTTGCCCGGCGGGAGATCTCCCCCTTTTCTTTCCACGGCCACATATCTTTTTATTATGATTTATCAACCTGTAACAGTTCACTGCCAATTTTGACAGGCGGGATAGTTGATCTCAGTACTATATGTCTCGTACATTTGACGATGCTTCCTGTCGTGTCGAGTGAAGTCGAAGGTCGTACGAGACGTCAAGAATTCGTCGTTCGCCGAATCGTTTCCTAAGCGGTAGAACTCCCTTTCTGAGAAGTAGAACGGGGAGGAATTGTCCCCTCCCGAGGAGGGGCTGCCGCCATGGGGCGGCCAGTGCTGGTGGCGTTCCCATGGCCCTGCCAATATGCGACGAAATTGGAATACCATCGGGTTGTAGTTGGTGCGAGTCTGAGTAGGCACCGCCCTCTCTCTCTCTATCTCTGCCGCTACTAAATACCACTGCTTGCGCTGCTGTGTTCCTGTGTGAAGGGCAGGATAGCGAATGTATTTACATTCTGCGAGGCATCCCATCTTAGTTCATTTTCTTTGAAGTCGGCTGCAGGTATCCATGGACTGCTTCTCATCGTTTTATGATAAAAAAATATATCCTCACTCCTATCTCCCCCAAGAAATGTCACAAAAACGGTCCTGAGCTACTTGAATCCATCGACATTGTTTACCATGTCATCACTATTTAGTGGGAGATATAAGGATTGAGTGGGATGTAATATATAAAATAAAAGGAGATATATAAAACATGTTAGGGCAACTCCATTTTTGATATCATCATTATTGTTCTATCCGTTCACAGGGAAGTTGTTGGCGATAACGAGAACGACCTCATTCCTGAAATCTTCGTCCCAGTTCACAAACGCCAAGACATTCTTACCAGTACCGATGAAGTTGTGGTGAAATATTTGCCCAATTGGCCATGGAAGAACAATGTAGTTATTAGAAGAGGCGTCACAGCGAGGTCTTCTAAGGTATAATACTTGGCCATTCACATTCAGCTTTAGAAGGATATTGTTTCTATTATTTATAGTGCTAATGTTGAACGTCATATATTTTGTAGCGCATTTTTTAGAGTTAGTACTAACAATCCGGTTTCAAGAATGATTACGCGAAGTAAGACAATCCAGTACCTACTATCTCGTGGGTGTCGTAAGGTCTATACGACAGTAACACAATTCATCTGTCTCTCTGTAAGAAGCGACAGAGGGAAGTTGCAAATATCCCTATTTGAAATTTTAATTTCATGTAATGAATTTCAATGAAATGATTTTATTTGAAATTCATGGTCTTAGTTTGACGTTTTAATGGAGAGGTATTTAAATTATTTGCCACTTGAGGGCGCCACAAAAATCATACGTCGAATCTAAATAAATTTATGTTTTTAAAAATATTCTATTCCAGAGCGCAATGTTAATGGAGCAAGAACAAATGGAGGAGGTGTATGAGAAAGACAATTTATACGTACAAGTGTCGGTAAGTGCGATGTGTATCATGATAAAATAAAAACTTCAAATTGCAATTAACAATTACATCGATGCCGGCGGGGAGCGATTCCGGGTAGCTCCTGAACTGCCACGGTTTATAATTACAGATTATTTAAAGGGAACAACAAAATTTCATTCCGTATTGTCGAATTTAATCTATGTAGTACCAGGCCAATACATGGGATAACCAAATATCGCCTTTGTAGACCCCTCAGGAAAATTCTTTTTTAAATACTGTTTATAAGAATTATGGAACTAATATTCTAAAAAAATTATAATTAGTCTCGTTACTAAATTACGAGAATTAAGATTATACGAGAAATAATTTAAGAGAATTTATTTCAAATGCTCCCTTCCACCATCATGTTACTTTACTATTAGAACTACGTCGGCTTCACAGGTCGGTGTAGTGCTTCACAGACGGTGTAGATGGTGCTGTTAAACAATTCTTTCATTGGTTCATTTTTCATTCATTCCAACGTCAAAAGCAGGAGATTCTATTTTCGACTCTAATATGATTTTTTGTATTTATGTCAAGAGATCACCCGTGACGACTAAGATGGAATGCCTCGATAGATATCTTCGCCTATTGTGAACCAATCTTCGTGCGATAGATATCTTCGCCTATTCTGAACCAATCTTCGTGCGATAGATATCTTCGCCTATTGTGAACCAATCTTCGTGCGATGGATATCTTCGCCTATTGTGAACCAATCTTCATGCGATGAATATCTTCGCCTATTGTGAACCAATCTTCGTGCGATGGATATCTTCGCCTATTGTGGACCAATCTTCGTGCGATGGATATCTTCGCCTATTGTGAACCAATCTTCGTGCGATAGATATCTTCGACTATTGTGAACCAATCTTCGTGCGATAGATATCTTCGCCTATTGTGAACCAATCTTCGTGCGATGGATATCTTCGCCTATTGTGAACCAATCTTCGTGCGCTGGATATCTTCGCCTATTGTGAACCAATCTTCGTGCGCTGGATATCTTCGCCTATTGTGAACCAATCTTCGTGCGATAGATATCTTCGCCTATTGTGAACCAATTTTAATGATTTTACAATACATAGGCCCATTTAAAATCTCTCAAGAGTGGTCCCATTTAAATTTAAAATTATTTGTGTTTTAATTTAATTTGGAATGGGATGGAAATCTTTTAATTATAAAACCCTCTAATGAAAAAATAACTGAGATGAAATATACAATTAAGATGACGTCCTAGTTGCTACATTGTAGTTGTGACATTGCTTAGTCCCCTAAAAAGACTACAATTAAACGTTTAAAAATTAAAAATCTACTTCAATTAACTGAAAAGAATAAAATAAGTTAAACGTAATTTAACCGTTTCTTAAGTCGGGGCTTTGTTTCTTCGGTGTATTATGTCTTAACACGGACTTCAAAAGCTAACGTATAGAAATTATTTCTTATTATTAAAATTGTAATTTTTGGGTTTAGAATTTATTTCCTGTGAAATTTGTGGCCTTGAAATATATGGAATATCAGCTTTCAACTAACGATTTCTTTTATTTTAGGTGAAGGGTTATCCAAATACATGGAGGAAAGAACACGTTCTGGACGCTTTACTCGAAGCCGTCAAAGGCAAGAGTTTTATACCTTGCTTTATTGAGGTAATACAAAATACAAAAATATTTTATAGCATATGGTAGAAATGTAATAATATATATTATTCAATATATTATAATATATAATTCAATATTTTATAATAAAAAATTTGTAATTCAATATAATGCCGTGTGGTGATATCGAGAATCTATGAAATATATATAAAGAAAATTCGTCTGTCTGTCTGTCTGTCCGAACTAATCTTCGGAATGGCTGAACCGATGGTACTGAAACTGCACAAAAAGATAAAGAATATTGCCAGGAGTGATCTATGTTATATTGTACCCGAAATTCTATATTTTTTGGAAAATCGAAAAATGTATAAAACAAATGGGTTTTTGCTCATTATCTTGAATTTAAATAATGCCACGCAAATAGAACCTAATCCCGCGAAACCGGGTCGAGTCGCTTGTACAGATATAAAACTTTGTTTACTCATTATAAGCCATTACTTGACCACAATCCCACCAGAATGGTAAGTGGTGATAAAGCCCTTGGTGGTAAGTCGCACTGTATAATATCTTTTTTTGTAGAATTAGGGTGACAAACGAGCACACAGTCCAACTGATGGTAAGTGGATGCTGTGGCCCATAGACATCCAATGATTCCAGTAAAACAGATCTCCGGTTCTCTACACTCACCATTCGAAACACAGCAGCATCAAGTTGCTATTTTACCCACTCTTCCCCGGTCGGGCCGACCCATTCGTGCTACAACAACATCATACGTGGTAGAGCCATGCTGCAGTTATATTAGTAGTATAGTTGTAGCACGAATGGGTCGGCTCGACCGGGGAAGGACCACGCTCTCACAGAATACCAGCGTGAAATAGTAGCTTAAGGGTACACTATTGGCTTATTCTTCCATACAAACGTAGTCCGGCGATAACTCCACTGTTTGATGGTATACGTTCAAAATAAAAAATGATTTCAATTGGTCTCATCATTATCTAGCCCTGTATGGAAACAAAAAAGTAAAAAAAGAGTATATTTAGAAGTTATAAGCGTCGAAAATTCCGATTTTTAACACATCTTTGGGCGGAAATAAATACCATAAGAACGAAAATTGCAAAACAGTTACCATACAGGGATAGATTAGTTGTTCAAAAATGCAAATAATTTTATTTTAAACAGATACATTCAATAGATTTTTCGTGACATCCAGACTACCAAAGGTCTGTTTATAAAATTTCGCGCGCCCGTTTTTGTTATAAAACATCTTGCCTTTCGCTACAAATTGTTTCCCCGATCAGTGGGACGGACGGAGGGGGGCGCAGCGCGCACTCACACATACTCACTAGGTTAGCCGCTGCTATCTATTTATGGTTGTAATACCTACATATCTACATCTTTATTTAGAAAAATTGCTTCCTTTTTTTGTTCGTGTCCATTGCTGAAGCCGGTATGAATATAGCTGCTAAAATGTTCCCATAAGTTTGTTGAAGCACATTTAGTTAAAATTGAAAACAAGTTGGTACATAATAATGAACTTTCGATACAGATAGTACATTAGGTACTTAACTACTTTAATTTGCTAACTAACGAAAACATCTCATAGATAAGCACGATTATCGAAAATCTTAAAATTATCTATTAATTGAATTAGAATAGGTAATTTTTAGATTTTCGATAATCGTGCTTACGTATAGGAATCTCATATCCTAATATACCTATTGTTGAAATTAAATGATTTTCTACTAGAAAAAGAAACGTGTATTTTTGGCTTTTTTGATCGATAGTAATATGTATAGGTATTTAAATCTTGTAATCTCGGAAGCTCGGAAGTCAGATTCGCACTTCGCAAAATATTTGTTTATATTTTACCTTACCTCGGACATACTCATATTTTTTTATATATAATTTACTATACTACTATATAAGCTACTACTAAAAAAATAGTAGCTTTGCTATGGTATTATAGTACCTATATTTTGGATTAGATTTAATTTATTACAGAGCCGTGGTAGCTCAGTGGTTAACGCTCGCTGTAAATATAACAGAACGCGAGTAACCCGGGTTCGATCCCCGCCGGCACCAATGAAATTGTTAATTGCAATTTTAAGTGCTGATTTACCACGTGCTCGGCGGTGAAGGAAAACATCGTGAGGAAACCTGCATGTCTGAGGAATAAGAAAAAAATATTTCCAAGACATGTGAAGTTCGTCAACACGCATTTGGGCAGCGCGGTGGACACTTCCTTGTCCTAAACCCTCTCAGAAATGAGGGGAGGCCTGAGCCCAGCAGTGGGACGTATATAGGCTGTAACTTTACTTTACTTTACTTTTATTACAGAATAACCTACCTTAGATATTGGGTTATGAATACAGATAAGTACACATAGGATTTAGTTTCTAAGTTATACCTACATATTTATAGCCTTCGTTATGAATAGCATAAACAGGTCAAGCCCCGACCAAGTAACAAATTTCTTTCTACAATCGCGCCTTTTATTTGTTTGGACTTATCACCTGACTCGTTCAGTGACGCCTTTCCCATACAGTGTTTAGTTTTCAACTAGCGTTATCTATCATAAAATAAATAAAAATTTTATTCATATTTCGCTAATTGTGTCTGTACTGTGAATTTGATTTACAATCGATCTCTAAATTGTAGTTTTCTTCTAATTACTTACCTTGCCTAGACGTGTTCTTTGGACTTCTGTAAGGAAGTCTATGCTGTTAGTATTCCGTTTATATACGTTACTATTTTGATAGACGTTTGTGCTTGTCCCTGCAGTGACACAATGCCTGTTGTTAATAACTTTCTAAGTACTAAGAGAATATTTCAAACCGCTATTGAACACAAACAATCAATAAACAATTTACAAACTAACATTTTTTTTATTTAATTTACCTATATAAAAGCCACACTCACATCAAAATCGCGCTGTCGAAAAAGCAGTTATCCTGACACTGGCTGACATATACTTCGGGGTCGGGGAGTTGCCTGCGGGCTATTATAGCTAACTAGCTATGGAAAGTAAATACCTATTTAGAATACATAGTACCTACAGTAATATTTGCATAACCTACAGTAAAATACAAAAACATACAGAAAACATAATTATGTTACACTTTTTTGTGTTTGTTTTAGAAATTGTTATATTTTTTTCAAAAAAAAGTTTTTTATGTTACCGTTTAGAGTTATGTCCCTTTAGTGGGTACAGGCGTGATATTATATTGTGTGTTTGCGTAAAGAATGCATAGATAGGCGATAGCAGCAATCGCGGTTGATTTGCTGTCATTTATTGAAGAGTGCCCCCGATTTCTCCAAGATCCCATCATCAGATCCTGATCTGATCATCGTCAATTACCGTGGGATTATCTGGAAAATATATCCAAATCGGTTCAGGCATATTCGAGAAATCGGGGGACAGAACATACATAAACAAAAACCAACGAATTGAGAACCACCTCCTTTTTTCGAAGTCGGTTAAAAAGTAGGTAAAAACAAATCAATGGAATTATTATATAATAACAACATCTACTTAAGTTCACATAAGAACTTTCATCATAACAACTAAGCACATAAATTGGGTTCATAATAATTACGTTTCACACAGCAGATTCTAAGTTACAATAACACCAATTTGCTTTCTCTCTCCTTTCTCTTTTTAAAATACGTTATCCCCGATTTTCTCCAGTATCGTGGAGGCAGTTTACAAATATAAATTGCATAAGAACAAACATCCAGACCCGGAACAACTATTTGTAGTCCATACAAAATATTTGTTCCGTGGGGGATTCGAACCCGCGGCACTCAGCGCAGCTACTCATTGCTAAGCTATTGCGGCACGAAGTTCACAATTGCCGTTTGAGTTTATGTTATTATTCTAAAATGAAACGCATAGGTACCTAGGTACGCGATGATGCCGTCGCGCATTGCGTCACTCGAGTGCGTATGTGTGTGCGCACTAGCTTCTTACTGCTCATCACAGCGTCTATCCCTTTCGCACGAGATGTCGGCTGAGATAGCATGCATTTTTGCCCCGCCCACCACTTAGTTCGTGCCATCGACTAGGGCAACCTTAATGCTGCTGTATTTCGTTTGGTGAGTGTAGAGAATCGGAGACCCTTTTTACTGGAAACGAGGCATTCCATCTTAGTCCTCACGGGTGACAACGCATCTGCATTTTGATTCGTAATCGAGAATAGATGTAGATGTCTATGGGCCACAGCAACCACTTACCATCAGGTGGACTGTGTGCTCGTTTTTCACCCATCCTATAAAAAAAAAACAATAATATAGCTGCAGCGTAGCTGTATTTCTATCTTGACAGGAATGAAAACCTATGTTAAAAATCATCATCGACAGAAGCAACTCTTATGTCTACAGCTGAACATGGTCTCTCCCGTATTAAGAGGATTTGCCTTAATCACTATGCCTTAATTAGCCGCGTAGTATGTAGGGACAGCAGCGTCTTCCTAATAACGACTACAAATAAAAATAAACTGCGGTTGCCAACCCGCTTGCCAAGTGTGGCAACTTTGGCAATTGTCCCACCCACCCACCCACCTATGAGGTGATCTACAGGGGAGGGCTATGTCCAGCAGTGGACTTTAATATTCTGGAACGGCCTTAATCACCTTGCTTGTCAGGCGAATTGACGATCATAGTAGCAGATGTCTCGTATCTGTGGCGCTGGGAGCAGTCACCGGTCTAATACCTATTAAGTTTGTCTCTTCGCGGAACGTACACAGCGGGCACTGGTAAAAGTATAACTGTACGAGTTTAAAAAGACTGTTTCAGTATTTTAGGACCAGTTTGATCATAGGAAAGTACACCTTAGTTTTATACATAGAATACTATAATACACAATAGAATGGCTGTCAACCTTATTTTGTACCGAGGTTCGGCGTCGCCGGGAGCACACATACAAGCAATTACGTCGTATTATCAGTTAATCACTACTACAAACCCAATTCGCTGTGTTGACAGACGGATTTTAATACATATTTATTTGTAAATAGCGTGCAATTTGGCATTTTCTAAATAATTTGCATGCGAAATTTGGAAACGATTATAATGTCAAAACACATCTCGTGTTGACATTTATACGTTTGAATTGACGTCTTGTGGCATTTTATTGGCTACACGGGCTCCGCCCACACCCCCGTTATATTATGTATGTATTATAGTATTCTATGGTTTTATATCACAATGATACGCATTAGCAATAACGTTTGGACTATGACTATTAGGTATTATCGTCACCGGTTTATACCGCCATCTATCGGATTTCATGATTCATGAGATCTTTCTGGCATGTCCATAGTCTTCTCTTACGACATCCACGGAAAAAAATTTGGTGATGAATCTCTTACGTCCCCGTGTGTTGTAGACACGGCTGTGTTAAAATCTAATATAATTAAAAACTAATTTCTGCTTCTTCGTATTTTATGCGCTGCCATACCAATATTCTTCAGATTGCGGTAAAAGTTTATCAACGAACGGAGGTTATAGGAATAGTTGGACCCGGTAGGTGGCGCTGTTGTATAATCCAGATATTACCCGTGCGAAGCCGGGGCAGGTCCCTAGTAGTAATTTTATATATACGTTTTGTTATTGTAATTGTTTTATTATTATAAATAATGATTTTAATTGTATAATTACTTTTTATTATTTTTCATACATACACACGGTTCAGTACACCATATTTACCTTTTTATATTTTACATGACACTTATTCTTTACCTAAATGAGTAAAGAATAAGTGTCATTTTATTTTTTGATTTATGAGTAAAGAATAAGTGTCATTGTTATTTTCAAATCAAATCTAAAAAGAAAATATGCACGATGTGTGTGGTATACACCCTGAGTTTGAGCACTGGCCGAGCCGGTTTAAAGTAGTTTTTCTCTGAACGTGACAAGCCGCCTGCCGCCAATGCCTACACACACGCACCCCTCAACCTTGTAGTAGTGTACCTATTATAGCGCGGTCATATGAAGCTTTGTCTCTAGTCGGTATCATTACTCTTGTAGTGGCGGTATAAGAATATCCACTACTCCATATCATCCCGTGGGTGTCGTAAGAGGCGATAGAGGATAACAAATCAGTACATGGGCAGCAGTGTGTTCCCAATAACGACTAAAAATAAAAAACCTGCGGTTGCCAACCTAGTTGCCAAGCGTGGCAACTATGGCAAACATTCCTGTAAGGCAATCTATGGGGAGGCCTTTGTTCAGCAGTGGACTTTAATAGGCTGTAACGGTATCTTTTGTTTCAGTTCACACCCCACGAATGCAAATTCCTGGTGATCAGATGTCGACCAGCCCTCGTCGCTATACACAAGCTAGGTTTCTGTGTACGCAAAGATGACTTCGTTTTGACCATAACCATATCTAAAATAGACTTGACGTTGAAACTCATTGAATTCCTGCCAAAACTGATTCTGCGGAAGCGGTTATCCATGGGCTACGATAGCGAAAGGAAACTGAGTTTGAAAGAATTTACACTACAATGGGGTAAGTTGGTTTGTTCAGTTCCTTGTCATAGAAAAGAACTACAGGTTGTTCCTAAGATCACTTTCTACAATATTTTACGCTGATAATGAATTCTTATATATACGTGAATACTACACATTAAATTGAAACTAATTTTGCCGATTTTATCGTGTTTAATTTTAACTTTTTCACCCGTAGTTTAGGGGGGACTGGTGTTTGACGTCTCAATGTCATGGTTCGCCTGGATAATATTGAAAAGCTGAAGATGGGACGTCGAACATCTCCCCCCCCCTCCCCGTGACCATGGGTGCTGTAAAAAGTAGTCCTCTTTTAAAGCATCCGCGGGATCAAGGAAGATTAGGATACTTAAGATTATTCTTCAGGCATGGAAGGAAAAATGTAGATATGCCAGGAAGGGGCCAATGTTCCATGGAGTACGGAACCTGTTTTATACATAATGCGTGAAATCATTCGGAATTTTTGATAGCGTGATTTAAACTTCGGTTATGGTTCGGTTGGTTTACGTCATTGTGGGACAACGACAGTACCGCCATAATTTATTCATTTGATATTTTACTTGTCGAAAGTGCTTTTTATTACATACTGAGTTACTGAAATATCCACTACCCCATATCATCCCGTGGGTTTCGTAAGAAGCGACAAAGGAAAACTAAAACAGATGAGTTGGGCAGAAGCATCTGCCTGATAACTCAAAATAATAAAAAGCTGTGGTTGCCAAACCGCCTGTCAGGAGTGGCAAAGATGGCATATGGTGATGTATGGGGGAGGCCTATGTTCAGCAGTAGACTTTTATACGCTGTAATGGATGGATAGTAACTATAGTAGGGCAGTAGATGGGGAATGCAATAGTTCGGAGCTATTCTATATGTACTGTTTTTACGGAACTTTGATAGCGCGATTTAGGCTTCGATATGTTTTCGCTTGTGGCGCGACGACCGCGCCACCATTTAATACAAGTATTCCTTGATATTTAAAAAAAAACATATAAATTACGACTTTTATTGCAAACGTACTTTTATACAGTTTCGAACACATTTTATAACTAAAAAAAGTATTATAATAGTCTACAATTATCTTACCGTTGGAGACAGCTCAAGAATAGGATCGTTTATTAATTTAATAAAATACAACTTGTACAGAACAAATTAGTAACAATTTAAAAAAATGTTTTATTTTTATTTTGGTAGGACAGGTTTTCTGTGTTAAGGCAGCGCATAGTACTAGGCTATTCTTTAATATCTTAATTAATAAAAATTATATTAACCTTTTAGATGTAAGTCACTTCATATACTTCCCGCTGAACCGGTTGAACAACCAAGCGGATATTGTGGGCCTGCAGAGTGCCGTGGAATGGAAGTATTTGACCGATCTCGACCTGTCTAATAATAGACTGACGTGAGTTTTCTTTTTTAATATAAAAATAACATCGTAATCGCATCGACAGTGGAGGGCACTTACGACTTACGTATTGAATGAACTTGACTTAAATGATTTCTTATTTTTATGCGAATACTAAACATTAAAGTTTATCTGTATTTCAAATAAAAACTAAAACAGGTCTACTTACGTCCCACAACTGGGCATAGAATTTCTCTGATTTCTGAGAGAGCTATGAAGCAAGTAGTACGCTTCCCCAATGAGTGTTGGCGGACTTCATGTGCCCGAAATATTTTATTTGTTAGACGTGCAGGATTCCTCACGATGCTTTCTTTCACCGCCGAGCAGTTAGTTAATCAACATTTAAAATTGCGATTAAAATTTTGATTGATACCGGCAAGAATCCGTGTTGTTCGCGTACAGTGAATTGTCTGTATATAGTCTTCAATAAAAGAGAGAGATATGTAGATAGATAGAGAGAGAGAAAAGGACACACTACGTTTAATCGAAGACTAGTCATTATAGTACTGTCTGATACTCGTGAGGAACTGCTATAATTATTACCATAATTTTTAGGAAACTGTATTTTTTATAAAATAAGTAAAAAACGAACTTCCAGTTCACCTGATGGTAAGTGGTTACTGCAGTCCATGATCAACTGTAGCCAACTTCCAACGAAAAATACTTTTTTTATAGAATAAGGGTGACAAACGAGCACACAGTTCACCTGATGGTAAGTGCATGCTGTGGCCCATAGACATCTATATTTATCCTCGATTAAGTATCAAAACGCAGATGCGTTGTAACCCCCGAGGATTAAGATGGAATACCTCGTTTCCAGTAAAAAAGAGTCTCTGGATCTCTACACTCACCATAAGAAAACAGCAGTATGAAGCTGCTATTTTGCGCTGGTATTCTGTGAGAGCGTGATGGACTAAGATGGAATACCTCACTGCCTGTAATTATACTGGATCTCAGTATCCTTCAGCCACATCGGCATTGGCAGCAGAAATAGGAATGATAGAGGTATCTACAGATGGATTTCTGGGCGGAATAGGAGACCTGCTATGTAGTTAAACTGTATTTTTTAGAATTTTATTTACTTAACCATATCATTCCTTGCAGTTCCTTGGATGGTTTTGATCTGCAACGTACAACACCGAAGCTACAAAATTTAGATATTTCGAATAATTACTTCGAAAAAATCACACCTATACTACAATGCCGGGAACTTCCCCTAAAAGTACTAAAGCTAGAGGGGAACCCCCTTTGCACCGACTATACGGACCCGCAGTATTATGTTAGAGTTTTGAAAATGATATTTCCAATGTTGAGAGAAATCGTAAGTACTTTCATAAAATATTTTACTTTTTACAATTGACGGTAAAGAGCCGTGGTAGCTCAGATTGTTAACGCTCGCTGTAAATATAACAGAACGCGAGTAACTCGGGTTTGATCCCCGCCGGCACCAATGAAATTGTTAATTGCAATTTTAAGTGCTGACCACATGTTCGGCGGTGAAGAAAAACATCGTGAGGAAACCTGCATGTCTGAGGAATAAGAAAACAAAATATTTCGAATACATGTGAAGTTCGCCAACACGCATTGGGGCAGCGCGGCGGACACTTCCTTGCCCTAAAACCCTCTCAGAAATGAGGGGAGGCCTGTGCCCAGCAGTTGGACGTATATGGACTGTAACTTTTTACAATTGGCGGGGGCGATCATGAGTTCGGTAGAAGGTGTAGAGAAATCCATGTTTTGTATTAAAAGTAAAAGTAAAAATGTTCACACAACGTCGCTTGCTATGTTAAAATGATATATGTAACTAGTACTCCGCTCCGGCTTCGCATCAGTGCTTTCTAGATCTCGACAACAGCGCCATCTACCGGGTTTGTTGAATCTAAAACATCCAGGGATCGATTTAAACACACAAATAATCGATCCAGCCGTTTAGCAGGAGTTCAGTGATAAACACACGTACAGAAGTATTATATATATAAAGATATACACACATGTTCCAGCAGCTGTTGTCGTGATATAAATAACTGTTAAGCTAGTCACACACTACGCAGATACGATAGGATATCTGTATCTGAGCGTATATCTTTCAATCTCTATGAATTTCAATGAACTAACATGCACAGCGCAAATAATTTATATTGTATCTGTAAGCATCGACATATATCGAAAGCTAGTGACAATTACAATTACAAAGTGTTATCTGCTCAAAGCTGCAGCTAAATACAGAAAGGTCGCTGAAAAATATGCGATTAAATTCGCCTCGGTCTTTTTAAACTTTATATGACGTTCTATCCAAATTCTTCGCCTTTTAATAAATGCTAATGCAATAAGTGCATCAAAATTAAAATCTGAATGATTGCTGAGATGAAAGCTGTCTAGCAAATCTAGAAACAATATACGCCAACTCATTGTAGGTAACACTTTCTAAACAATACACTTACAAAAAAAAACAACACTACACTTTGTAAACAAAGCAAAACACGTCTAGTAAGTTTGAAGGATTTCGAGTGAATGTATAATTTCGTATATTATCGTGTCTGCGTAGTGTGTGATACTTTCAAATAATTAAGTTTTTATACGCAGATAAAATATAACGGTATCTGCGTAGTCTGTGACTCACTTAACTGTTATTTATTCTGTGCTTTAGCTAGGCTAGAATAAACGAACTAAATTAAACTAATGAATTATATAATTTAAACGAGGCATTCCATCTTCGCGGCTCTTAACTAAGTCATATCGGAAGCACTGGCTTTCAATTCATTATTTTATTAGCCCATTAGTTTTATTTAGGTTTCCTCAATAATTTTACCGAATATTTTTCCTATTTGATTTGTCCCTTATTATTAATGTTGTGTATGTACATCTACAATGGGTAACTTATAAGACTTGTTTATATATGTACTTACAAGTTTGTACTACTGATGATGTAAATACTACTCATGCGGTTAAATAATGGGATTTAAAATGGCGTCGCATCTCGCTCCCTCACTATCTCTATCTATACTCACAGCCGCCGGTAAATACTTCAAAAAAAAAGTGTTTTTCGGTACTTTCTATAGATAACTTATAACTTATAACTTCAGTCCAACTTATCATTGGAATCAATGATAACAAATTCCCATAAACTACAAAAAATATTGAGAGCCATGGTAGCTCAAATGGTTAGCGCTCGCTGTAAATTTCACAATACGCGAGCAAACCGGGTTCGATCCCCGCCGGCACCAATGAAATTGTTAATTCCAATTTTAAGTCCTGATTTACCACACGCTCGGTGGTGAAAGAAAACATCGTGAGAAAACCTGCATGTCTGAGAAATAAGAAAAAAAATATTTCGAAGACAGTTTCGTCAACACGCATTGGGGCAGCGAGGCGGACACTTCCTTGCCCTAAAACCCTCTCAGAAATGAGAGGAGGCCTGTGCCCAGCAGTAGGACGTATATAGGCTGTAACTTTACTGTACTTTACTACAAAAAATATTTAGTCCTTGAAATAATACTAGTTTTTACGGAATTTATCGCCTATATTTAACTTTTTAAATACCCGACGTTTCGAACGCTTTACAGCATTCATGGTCAGGGGCAGGACTGAGATGTTCAACGTCCATATGTCATAGTTAACCGCGGTTACCATAGATTAAAATTTAACTTTTGTTCCGATCTATGCAGTATGAACTTATGGTATCTTGAAGTCTTGCAGTTGTATGCTTGGGTTGGGATTTAATTTTATTTATTATAGGATCCCAAGCAGATGGTAGCACCCAGCCATCTTCTCTATTGAAATTAGGATGTTTTTTGATTTCAATAGCCTCGCGAATCATCCTTGGAAGGAATCGGTGTTCTTTAGCGAGGATCTGCGGTCTATCAAATCTGATGTAGTGACGGGGTTGATCCTGTACGTGTTCACAGACTGCTGACTTCCCGGAGCGTCGATTCTTCACATCAGCTATATGTTCTTTAACGCGGGTTTTTATTGATCTTTTAGTTTGTCCTATGTAGGAGACACCACATTCACAATCAAGCTTGTACACTCCTGCATCTTGCAAAGGGACATTACACTTGACCGATGGTAAAAACTGACCAATCTTCTTCAGCGGCTTGAAGTATGTTTTGATGGAAGCGCGCTTCAAGATGTAGCCAATCTTGTCAGTGACTCCTCTAACATATGGCAGTACAGCAGGTACACGCTCAACTGTGGCCGGCTTCACTCGTTCACTGTGACGTAGGCGCGGGACTCGAAGCTTGTTGTCTTGCAAAACTTGCTTGACATGGTGGAGCTCTGCAGCCAGGTGTTTACTGTCACAGATCCCTCGTGCTCTCTGAAACAAAGATTTACCCACGGTAGCTAACTGTGAAGGATGGTGGTGAGAATCACCGTTTAAATATCTATCTGTATGGGTCTTTTTTCTATACACAGTATGGCTCAAGGTGTTATCAGGATTCCGAATTACTAACACATCTAGAAAAGCTATGGAATTGTTTGCCTCTAACTCCATTGTGAACTGAATTTTAGAATTTATAGAGTTAAGATGGTCTAAAAAATGCAGTTACTTTATCTAAAGGTAGAATTGTGAAAGTGTCGTCTACGTACCTTGGATTTATGGGAGAACTAAGCAGGGCTTTCTCCTCAAAGTCTTCCATGAATATGTCGGCGACAATGGGAGATACAGGTGAGCCCATCGCCACACCATCTACTTGCTTGTAGAACTCCTCCTTCCACAATAGGTAGCCAGATGTAAGGCAGTGTCTGAGTAATACTGCATATTCTACGGGCATGTTGTTTTCTTCCAGCCTTCTAGTTACAATTGAGATGCAGTCTTCAACAGGTAAGCATGTAAACAATGACTGCACATCAAAACTGACCATAGTTTCATTGTCTGCCAGATGTAGGTCTTTAATCTCGCTGACAAAATGGTAGGAATCCTTTATGTGTGCTCTTGTATGTCCCCTGAGTGGTGAGAGTATTTTCGCTAAGTGTTGAGCCAATCTGTAAGTTGGTGAATCGATTTGGCTCACTATGGGACGTAATGGAGCATTGGGCTTGTGTATTTTTGGTAACCCATACAATTTTGGTGATTTGGCACACGTAGGTATTATCCATTTTACGTCCAGATTTAATTTTTCGGAGTGTTTCTTTATGAGGTCACTAGTTGTTTTTAGTGTGATATTTGTTGGGTCGTTTTTAACCTTTTTATAAGTACTTACATCCGAAAAAAGTTCTTGTATTTTAGAATTATAATCTGACGTATCCATGACTACCGTGGCGTTTCCCTTATCTGCGCAGAGAATCGTAAGTTCGTGTTTATTGCGTAGGTTCTTTAACGCTATAAATTCGTCTTTGGGAAGATTCGGTTTAGGCACTGAACATCGACGTAACATAGACGAGATGTCTTGACGTATCGCCTCCAAATCTTCTTCCCGCATATTGTTTTTAAATAAACAGTCCTCGATACTACAGATAATTTCTTCGTACGATAATTTGCGGGGTGTAATTGCAAAGTTGAGGCCTTTGGATAAAACCCTAATTGTTGCATCATCCAGTGTTTGTTTTGACAGATTATAGAGCGCGATTAATCTATGATCTGTGTTTGTCAATGGTTGCTTTCGGTTCTGGCATTGATTCAGATGTTTGACATTTGACTTGTTCGTTAATTTTTGATATTTTTCTGTATGTTTGTTTTTGCATTCATTATATTTACTAATTTCGCGTTTATTTAATGTTTCCATGCAAAAATTATAGTCAAACGTCGTTAAAACTTTCTTCAATTCAGTGTTCTGTAAAGCGTTCGAAACGTCGGGTATTTAAAAAGTTAAATATACGCGATAAATTCCGTAAAAACTAGTATTATTTCAATGTGTAGTGTTCGCGTAAATATAAGAAATCATTATATTTAGTCCTGTTTTGCTAATTTGTGAGCTACGACGTGTTCTGAGAGTTTTCTTCATAATATTTTAGTTTAAATTCGTTCACTCCTGTTAATATTTTATACGAAGATATTAACAGGAGTGATTTAAATTAAATTTTATCCTAAACGATCTAGATTTTATTAATAAGATAAAATACATGGTTTTTAATGATTATCTTAAGTGTTAAATAACGCCACATTTATAGATCCCACCCAGGAGAAGCCAGAGCGGGTCGCTAGTTATTTTAAAATTAATATACCCTATTTGTGTATACAATTATTTTCAAATATTTTCCCATTAATAGAAAATTTCTAAATAACCAAATAATATAACGTTATAACGATGTACCGTTATTTGTGGGTTTTTGTTATTGGTACTTTGCATGTTGACGGTGCTGGCTCGATGAGTCGCCATTTCTAATCCCATTCTTTATCGGTACGGACTATACCATACTCCGAGTCTGAGTCTTTAAACTCTGAGTCTTTAAAAAACGTTACCCCTACACTAGGATTTTCACCTGTATCGTGGGGACAGTTTACAAGCACAAATTGCACAAGAACAAACATCCAGTCCCGGAACAATTATTTGTAGGTCATACAAATACTTGTTCCGTGCGGGATTCGAACCCGCGACTCCCAGCGCAGCCACTCATTGCTAAGCCACTGCGCCACCTTTTATAAGTAAATTAATTAATAAATGACGGGGATAGTAATCGCAATTGAGGGAAGGCGGCAAGTGCTCTTCAAACCAGGTATCAGGTATCATTTTATTTTGTTACGCAGATCTTCGATATACAAAAATAATAAAAAAAAAAAAAAAAAAAAAAAAAAAAAAAAGGTTGGGGTAATACCGGACGATTTTATTTTAAAAGAGTCTGACAAAAACTTTATTTTCTCGACATCCATATACGTCAGATTTCTGAAACATGGCGCAAATCGTTAATGGTTACACGTAATTTAGCTATAAAAAAGCTTTTACTTTTCAAAACTCAACAGTTTCTGCTTAAAACGTGTGCGAAAACAAGGCATAATTTTTTATATGCATGATGAAGAATTGGCCATCAAGGGGAAAGACCGGACGTCGCTAAAAATCGCAAATAAAAGTGATAGGGAAAGACCGGACGGACGAAAAAAATTAAGCAAAGTTTTGGCTGAAACTGATTCTATTATTATGAAATTCCTAATGTGAGGGTAACTTTTATAAAAATAAATTATAATAATTTTATGTGTGCTTAATAAAGTATTATTTTTAGGATGGGATGCCACTAGTGTTGAAAGGTGAACTGCCTTTAGTGAACAAGAACTTCTGTCCAGGTTATGCGAATGATTTCGTAGAGAAGTTTCTAGGGATTTACTTCCCTATTATAGATAGTCCGCCGGACGATAGGGCAGTAATAGAGGAAATGTACGCAGAGGATGCACTTTTGACTATCACATACAGACAAAAATTATGTAAGTATAACTCTTTATGATATAACTATTTATATATAACTCTTTATGAAACTCATAATGAAAATTTTATTTATTATTTAAACAAACATCAAAGTAAATTATTATTTAAAAAACAGAATCTCACTTATTATACGAGTATAAGATATATTCCTTAATATGTAATATACAGAGTAACTTTTCAAAGAGCAGCCAAATTTTAAACTTAAGTTCAAATATACATAATGATAACCGTTTTTGCAGTTTTTCAAAATACGAGTATATAAGGTTTCTACTTTTATTTGAAATTATATCGAATCGAAAGTGATTTATGGGCGACGTTTTTGCCTACTGATCGACCCTTACGAATGTGCGTGCGCAGTAAAATCTGTTAAAATAATGCGTTACCACGCATTTTGAATATAAAAGATAAAAGGAAGGAATGTTTAAGATTTATTTATTTAAGTTTTTCGTTACCATTTGCCTATATTACTTATTCTGAACCTTCTCCGCAAATTTGGCCGGTTATTTCAAAATAACCCTTCAAAATATTTGGAATGTACTCATAAATGTGTAGTGGCGGGCGGAGTAAGAATAGAATAGAATAGATTTTTTTAAATATAGATTATAAAAATCATCATTACAGTCTTCACAAATCCACTGCTGAACATAGGTCCCTCCCAAGGAATGTCACAAAGCACGGTCCTGAGCCACCTGCATCCATCGACTTTCTGCATGTCTTAAGGGAGGCAGTTCTACACTTCGTCTACCGGTATTAGCCTACCACTCGAGACCTTGCCGTTTTTAAGATGCTGGAGAGCTGTTCTAACCTCGTTCAGACTGACGTCCGGGATGTCATCGGAATAGTGTTGGATAAGACTTGCTCTTAGATCGTTACTTACTCTTACATATGATTCCAACGATAACGTATACAGCTGCCCACAGAACCTCTCAATCTCGTATTCAGCTTCGACAATTGATTCTTTCTGGCAGATAGATCTCTGGCAAAGACTTCGAAGTCCTGGTTCTTCTCGATCGTTTTTTTTTTAATACGAGCTATATTGAAGTTGCGTAAGTCCCGCCGCGTGCTGTTGGAGATCTGTCTGTTCAGTTGCCTGTATTCTGTCAAATCTGCTGAAGACTGCAGCTTCATCTCCCATCTAACAGTCATGACATTAAGAGTGTGATCGGAGAGTTTTTGTGTTTTTCTGCGATGTGTCTTGCGGAAATTTTATACGTGGTAGAGCCATTCTGCAGTTATATTAGTAGTATAGTTGTAGCACGAATGGGTCGGCTCGACCGGGGAAGGACCACGCTCTCACAGAATACCAGCGTAAAATAGTAGCTTAATGCTGCTGTGTTTCGTATGGTGAGTGTAGAGAACCGGAGACCCTTTTTACTGGAAACGAGGTATTCCATCTTAGTCCTCACGGGTGACAACGCATCTGCATTTTGATTTGTAATCGAGGATAGATGTAGATGTCTATGGACCGCAGCAACCACTTACCATCGGGTGGACTTTGTGCTCGTTTTTCACCCTATCCTATATTAAAAAAAACTTAATTCCGACCGCATGGACAGTTTCCAGGAGCTTGTCATTCATATCATCCACTACATTGCAGTCTTCTAGACACTGAAAATGTTTTCGGGGCTTTGGATTAGAGCACGAGGGGAAAGTTCGTTGACTTCATTATACGTGACCTCTCCAACTTAACATTTTGCTTCAGTGTCTCTCGCCATTCGGTGATCGCTGCCAGTTCACCCTCGTGATCGCTGAGACATCACTGATCAGTTGCCGTCTATTCGTCATAATGAAGTCAATTTCATTTTTTCGAACCGTCGGGGCGGTCCACTTTCTGTGAGGCCGCTTCTGGAAGAAAGAGTATGAATTCTCATAAAGCGTCCTTCTTTCTCCATGAAGTCAGCCAGCTGCTGGCCCCTTTGGCTCCGTTGCTCTGTCCCGAATTTCCCTACCTTCAGTTCAGCGTTCTCTCTTGTGCCTAGTTTTGCGTTGAAGTCTCCCTTTAACATCGTACGAGTATAGTAGGTTTTGAAGGAATGACTCAGATATCTTCATACATTTTCTCTATCTCCTCATCGGGATGTGCCGAAGTTGGTACGTGTTTGGTGATTCTGAGTATAGGATACGCAACCTTCGTCGACACACTCCCAATCTTTACAACGCTGTTAACAAGAGACTTGTGGTCGATAAATCCGACACCTCCTTGGTTACAAGAATTGCCTACTTATTAAAAGTAATTTAAGCTTTACCGCTAGTTCAGTAAAAAACCTCTGTCCTGGGAAGAATCAGCAAGAAACCCAGCGTGAACCAGCAAGAAATCTGGTTTCGCTGAAGGCAAATCAGTGTTAAATTTTTGCCCTCAGGTCTCACCTCGATATATCGTCTGTTCCGGAACTTATTCCTGCACAGTCGAAACATGTCAAAAAATATAAAGGACTTTGTGAGAACGCCGAAAAATATAACGAAGCTGTTGAAGAAATGGCCGAGTTTGGAGCACGATCCGACAACCTTCACCGTTGACGTCATGTGGCATACAGTACGTCAATCCATCTTACACAATTTTAATAATTAGTTCGACTTTATGATTTAGGATTGTACTATTGCCAGGTTTCTATATTAAAAAAAACTCTTCGTTTTCTTTTGCGAGCCGTTTTGCATTAAATGAAGCACATGAAATCTATATATAATATGTATATAAAACACCACTTCAATTATTTATGAATGGTTTAATTTATTTTTTATTTTTAGTCATCCTAATTTTCTAAATGTTTAGTTTGTTATATAAATTGTTTATATGTGCACCTCGTTAGTAATAAAACGGATCGTTAAGAACGAAACGTTTCTTGAATATAGGAATCTGGCATAAAAATGTACTTGTTTACGCGGGGACACTCACTGATCCTAACCTGCAAACATAACCACATTCTTAATATTGCTCTTGTTTAAACAAAAATCGATCCAGCTTTGAAGGAAGAAACTGGTGAATACGAGATGATAATTTCAAAGCTATAATTAGTCCAAGCTACAGTTGCCTCTCTCGGTTCTCCGAGTCCATCGTTCGAGCACTGGGCAACAGAAAGAGATCTGTAAAAACCTCTTCTTCAAATCAATTCGATGAGATATCGCCTTAAAAAAATTAAATAAAACAAACTATTAAAAAAATCAGAAATCCTCTGAACAAAATAAAAAAGCAACATGTGTGCATTTCACACGCGGAGAAGTGAAACCTTTAGAAAATTAAACTTGAGAGAATAAGACGAATGCAGAATATCAGGAGTAGGATAAATTAATAATAATAATGTTTACTTTATTTAATCTCACAAGTTTGTATTGCCTAGTACATATATAATATTAATAGAGGACTAGCCACTTTGTGAGACCAATATGTGTACTAGGAAAGACCTTTGGAAGAATTGTAGGGTTTATGTAATTAAAATATAAATAAATTTATAATTAACTCTGTATACGGTCTGATGGTAAGTGGATGCTGTGGCTCATAGACATCTACATTTATCCTCGTTTAAGAATCAAAATGCAGACGCGTTGTCACCCCTAAGGACAAAGATGGAATGCCTCGTTACCATTAAAAAAGAGTCTCCGGATCTCTACACTCACCATACGAAACACAGCAGTATTAAGCTGCTATTTCACGCTGGTATTCTGTGAGAGCGTGGTCCTTCCCCGGTCGAGCCGACCCATTCGTGCTGCAACCATTATATAGCTGCAGCGTGGGTCTACCACTCATCCACTTGCAGGCGAAATTTTATAGAAGTATATGTTTGTCTATTTTTAGTATCTCTTTTTCATTTCTTCGAGTTTCAAATCACAAGGATTCCAAAAAAAAATTTCATTTCAAAGAGCTGATATAATGATATAATACTACTTTTAATACTAATACTTTTATATGTGGTAGAGCCATGCTGCAGTTATATTAGTAGTATAGTTATAGCAAGAATTGGACCGTTCGACCGGGTAAGGACCACGCTCTTACAAAATACCAGAGTAAAATAGTAACATAATGCTGCTGAGTTTCGTATGGTAAGTGTAGAGAACCCAGAGATCCTTCTAACTGGAAACGAGGCATTCCGTCTTAGTCCTCACGGGTGACAACGCATTCGCATTTTGATTCGTAATCGAGGATAGATGTAGATGTCTACGGGCCACAGCAACCACTTATCATAAGGTGGACTGTGTGATCGTTTGACACCTATCCTACAAAAAACTAAACGAATTTCTTTCCCCTAACAGGAAACCTCGACAGTTCTACGAATAAGTGGTATAGTCAAAATAACTTCAGATAGCCTAGCAGTGGATGAACACATGCTGGCCTTCACTAGAACCATCCTGCTCCATACGGATGATGGTGTCGAGTACAAGATACGAAACGAGATGTTGTATTGGGACCAACCCACCGAGGAATACTCTAAAAACGCTTTTAGAATCAACGTGGTAAGTTTTTATTTTATTTTATATTTTCTACATCAAACTGTGGACATTGGCGGTGTTGGTCCATTTATCTATAATCAAGATATGGAGGTGAGTCCTATCTTATCAACGTAAGACCATTTCGTTCAGAATATATCAACGCCGTGAACCGTGATGTTGCGGTGTAAAATTGTCCACTATTCCATATCGTCCTATGGATGACGTAAGAAGCGACAGGATGTAACAGTAGATAGGCAGCAGCATTTTCCTGATAACTCAAAGTGATATAAAATTGGTGTTGCCTGTCAAACTTGGCCTCTATGGTACCTACATATCCCTCCTATAAGGCAATTTAATAAAAAAATAAAGTAAATATAGCATCGAAATGTAAAATTACTACTTGCCCAGAGGAAGTAAAGGACCTCAAGGATAAACAAATGTTGAGATTCATTAAAAGTTTAAGGCTTAGTGGATAACTACAGCTAAAGCAACGATCACAATTATGTCCTACATACCGAATTTCAGTCACGGCGATCAGTCTTAATGGAGACTAGCCAACTGCATAGGACAGGATTATAGTGCCCGAGTGTGTACACTCACTCCGTCCCTAGTCCGATGAAACGGCAGTCCGACATGAATGGAGAGATCAGACACGCTTTACGTGATTTTCTTTTTTTATAGAATAAGGGTTACGAGCGAGCACACAGCCCACCTGACGGTGTTGCTGTGTATCCTTGAATAAGAATGAAAATGCAGATACAGTGTCACCCCCGAGCACTAACATAAGTAAAAAGGGTCTCCACTTCTCTACATTCACCGTACAGATCACAGCAGCATTGAACTGCTATTTTACACTGGTATTATATAAAAGCGTGCTCCGTACCCAATCGAGCCGACCCATTTGTTCCACAACCATAATATAAGCACATAGTTAAAACCAACCACTAACTACCATCAACTTCCTGATTTCGAGCATCGACTGAGGATTTTACCAATGACTGATTTGGCCCGACCTGGGATTCAAACCCGGGACCTCTTAGTCCCTAGCTAGATTAAATATTTGCAATTTAAATCTAGGACCACCTACTCATTACTAAGATACTTCTTTCTTCTGATCAGAAAAAACTGGCCAAAAATACCTTTGCTGGTAGGTACCTTTTTGTACTTGTTAAAATTGTATGTATCTAGTGTGTAAAAATGTAAGTATCTAGTTAATAAAAATAATTAGTAAAAAAAGATGTGTTTTCTAATTAATGTATTTTTGTTTAACAGGTTTTCAAAAGATTATTTAATATATACATTTTCAAAACAAAATATTATAAAAAACTTTTGATTGACATAAGTGCCAATAAAACTTACCTAAATAAACGTTTATTGAAAACATGTTTTATTATGTAGTGTCGTCACTATTAAGATATACTATAATAAGATTCTACTATATTAAGACTAAGACTATATTAACATTCACGACTAAATTTATCCCATTACAAGTTTAACATTTTGTATGTTTTTATTTTCAATATTATGTACTCTGGATTTCCAAAAAGTCTTAGAAGTTGTATGTTGTAACACCTCAGAACTAAGTTGAAATAATAAAACCAGTGGTAAAATTAAAAATAATTAATTGTATAATCGCTTCAATATAAATAAATAAAATGGAAGAACATCATCAATGTAGTTGAAGTCAATTTAGATACGCATTATTAACGATAACTCAAAATCTACTGGTCAGATCTTGATCACATTTATATGGGACCACATAAAAAGCACCAGCTTTGAAATAAAAAAGAATCATCAAAAGGTACATCTAGAAAAATTCTAGTCATGCACAAGTTGAATTGAATACCTCCTCCTTTTTTAAGTCGGTTAACAAAGGAAAGTTACAGCCTATAGGCCTAGCTGAGAGGAGGCCTGTGATAGTGGGATGTACCCACTTACCGCGGATCGAACCGAGGTTGCTTGTGTACTGTGAAATTTTCGAGCGCCTATAATAATACATATATTACGTTTTTAAATTACCATTTCTCATTTGGCCCTTTTATCTATAATCATTGCTTGTTATCAAATAATTCCCATAATGTCCCACAACCAGGTTTTATTTTTGCTCTTTGAGAACAGGTTGGATAAACAATTAAAATAGAACAATTACCAATTTAAATCCATAATACTCATATCAGTTGTTTCGAAGACTGGTAGCAGGCCAGTAATATAAAAAAGAGCAGTAGGAAATGTCACGGTAGTAAATGAAAGCTCCACAAATAACAAATAATAATAATTAAAAGGCAATCTATAAAATGTGAAATAAAACATAAACCAAAAAAAAATGATAACAACACACAATTGTCAAAAATATTTTTATTACCTATTTCACAGGATTGTAATGTGCATAAATTGTAAATGGCTTTTATGATATTATCTCTACCACATAATATATCACTTGTTTGCATATGCAAAAATATTAAGAGCAAAACATCCTTTACTTCATATATCTTACATGTTTGAGAGCCTTAGTATAAGGAACTATCCACTATTGTACATTAATAATTCAATATGATTGAACAATATCCATATACCAGGTACCACAGTTTGGTTGTTGGTGTTATTTTTATGAGAAAAAGTGTTATTAGCATAAGGTACAAAATTGATGACCTTATGAACAGACTATTCACAAAAAATAAATTCACTATTGGCACTATCAGTCGAAATTACATATGCTTAAAATAGGATGTGATTTAAATAAGAAAAAAACTATGCGGGCTCTATAAACCATCTGCTAAATGATTCTCAAACAGTGTCCATAGATTCTTCATTTGCTGGCTCTGTCTCCATTTCCATGTCCTTTTCATCAATCCCAGAGTACTTTAGTCTCAACTTTTCATAATGTACTTGCTCCTTGGCCGATACTGAAGGTTTACATTTTGCTAGAGCTGCTCCAAAGTCTTCGAATGTCACAAAGATTTCACCCTCTAATGTTCCATTTGAAATGTGACTTGTCAATGTGTTTGTTGCTGCTGCCCTCACTAATCCAGAAAGGTCTGCCCCTGTATAGCCTTCGGTTAATTCAGCAATCACTTGTAAATCCACATCAGGGCCTAATTGTGGCTGTGTACCCTCTTTTGTTAATTTTCGGAGTATATCATACCTATCTTCTCTAGCAGGCATGCCAACATACATGACACGGTCTAACCGACCCGGTCGTAATACAGCAGGATCAATTATATCAGGCCGATTTGACGCAGCCAAGACAAACACACCTTCACGACTCTCAATGCCATCCATTTCTGTGAGCAATTGATTCACGACTCTGGCAGCTCCATTATTATCCTGTGATGTTCGTCTAGGGCATAAGGCATCAAATTCATCAAAGAATATAACACATGGGGCTGAATTCCGTGCACGTCTGAAGCATGTCCTCACAGCCCTTTCACTCTCACCCACATACATGTTTAATAATTCAGGTCCTTTCACTGATATGAAATTAACTCCAGCTTCATTAGCAACAGCTTTAGCTAATAATGTTTTTCCACACCCTGGAGGGCCACAGAGTAAGACACCACTGGGGGCAGACAGGCCAAGTTTTTTTAGTTGTTCGGGATATTTAACTGGTGCTAACACTGCTAATTGTAAATCTTTACGAACTTGGCTTAGAGATCCCACATCATCCCATGACACATCAGGGACTGTGACAATACCTTCCCGCACTGCACAAGGCTTTGTTGTTTTTAACGCTCTTGTGAAATCTTCATGTCTTATAGAAAGGCCAGTTAATTCCTCTGCAGTATATGGCATGTTGTCTTCAAGTAGGCTGAAAACGTCATTAAGAGGATTGTTAGGTACCTCCTTTGGTGTCACAATTCCGTGACTTTCCTCATCAGTACTTACAGGTACGTTACTATTTTCTGTTGGCTGTTCTGTTTCTTCTTTAGGTGGGTTTTGAATTACTTCTGTATGGTTTTCATTATTTTCTTCACTGCTGGTACCTGTGGCTGCGGGCTCGTCATTTTCTTTATCTCCATTTGGAACAACATTAACCTCATCATTTGATTTTGGAGCTTCAATTAAATTAACAGTAGTTTGAACTTTTGTCTTATGGCGAATCTCTGAGAAAATTCTTTTTACAGCATAAGTACTGGCTTTGTTTACAAGAGCCTGTAAGTCGGCTCCCACAAAACCAGGAGTGATTTGAGCAAGTGCACTCATATCCACATCAGCATCTAACACTAAATTCCTACACAAAATCTGTAGAATTTCTTTTCTAGCATTTAACGTTGGAATACCCAATGCTATTTCCTGTTCAAGGCGACCAGCTCTTCTCAAGGCAGGATCTAAAGCGTCAGGGTTATTTGTTGCGGCAAGTATTAAAACAGGAGCACTATTTTCGCTTAGGCTATCCAAGCTAGCCAGTAATTGAGCTACCATGCGTTTCTCCATATCCTTCTGAGCGTGAATTCTATTTCCACATACTGCATCTATTTCGTCAATAAATAAAATACAGGGTGCCACGGAAATGGCTCTCTCAAATAACTCTCTTATTCGTTCTTCAGACTCGCCAGATACACCACCAACTAACTCAGTACCACTTACTGCAATGAAAGGTAATTGCAATTTCCCAGCAATGGCATGAGCTAACAATGTTTTTCCAGTTCCCGGTGGTCCATGTAATAAAGCTCCTCTGGGAGCCTTTATACCCAATTCTTTATACACCTCTGGATGTTTCATATGCAATATGAGGTCACAAATTTGTGTTATAATATCTGACAGCCCACCAACATCTTCAAAATTAACTTTAACATTTTTTGTTTCCCCAATATCAAACTTTTTCTTTGTTAATGTAATTTTATTTGTATCAGGTTTTCGTTTTTTATCAACCGCATTTTGAATAACTGATGTTTTGTTAGTACTTTCCGTTGCAGCGTTGTTCGAATTTTTAGAAGGTATATGTGGGGTTATCGTAATTTGATCATTGATTTTCGGTAATTTCGGCGCGGCGCTGCCGTCTTCATCGCTACTCAGTATGTCAATAGGTTCGCCAGATTTGTCCGTAGCTCTGCGGGAGGCCGCCGGCCGTTTCTTGTCTTGCATTTTATACATTGCTAATAAACGGTCGTTGAGAGCACTGTTGTTTTCATCTAATAATTCTATGTCAGATTCCTCCTCAGAGCCCTCAGAAGTGGTTGCCCCGTCTAATCCGTAGCTCTGTAAAACCACTTTGTACGCGCTTTCGACCATTTGACAGAATGCGTTGTCGCTTCTATTGCTGTATTCACGATATCGCTCTTTGAGAGAACGCGCCATTTGGCTGACATCGACAAATGTTTTATCCACATTTTCTGCTAAATAATTCTTCACACGCGATACTATTATCGGATCATTAAGAGTCTTTTGTCGAGTCTGATGTTTCTTCATATTACTCAACGTACTCTTTTTTATTTTAGTTTTAATAAAATATCACACTGTCTCCGTCGTGTAGGGAACTCGCAATGTTTGACAGCGGCGTCGCCGAATCAATGGAATAGTTGCCATATTTAAAATTTTAGTGTAATATCTATGAACGTAAAGCTAAAGGTATATTATTTGCAGGAAAAGGATTTTTTCGGATTAACATAATGCGAATTAGAATTCGTCAATAGTACGGACTGTACAATATGATAACATTATGTTTTCTTAAATTTATATTTTGAATAATTTTCTTTAATATGGATACTTCTCTCGCTTTAATATTGAGTGACTTCGAAATAAAATGAAAAAATGTAGTAAATTTATTTCAAAACTAGTTCTTACCCGCGACTTCCTTCGCGTAGAACCTCAACAAAAAATCTTACAGATTAATAACAGTTGACCAAGCAAGTTAGTCCAAATACCAAAAAAAAAGTTTGTTATTTTACGTAAAAATATTATCACTATCCTTTAATGCTCATGGTTTTGTTCTTTAATGGTGTTAAAGTTGAAGTAAAAAATGTAAAAAATCTATTTTGCATTATAAGAGATATAAGAAAGTTTTACGGATTTTTTGTAGCTCGTATTTGTATACATGTAATTAAATAATAAATTTTATCGAACTGTCTTTTTTTTTAATCTACACGTTGCTTAGGTCACCCCCTTGCTTTCTATCAGTTTGTGAAGTTTCATCACAATCGATTCAGCCATTTCATATATAAGCCCGGACAGACTGACGGTTTAAAAATGGTTATTCGTGTCTTAGAATGCAAATTTATTTCCATATTACAGATATTTCAATTTTATGTAAATATCGTTTACAATAATTTTTCAATTTTCTTTACAGGTACCTAATAAAAGATTAAATATTTCTTTGGAAACAACACCTGATTCAGCTTTGAAGGAGAATCTTACTCACATTTTTATGAAATTGACGGACCTAGATAGGCAAAGGAGTGAACGGTATTTTCTTTTTAAAAATATGTATATTGTTTTACTCTTTTAGTATTATATGTGTATAATGAAATATTTTTTTAAAGGTGTCTAGAAGAGAAAGACTGGAATCTTAAAAATGCCCTGGAGTATTTCATAAAACTACTGAAACTGAATCACATAGACCTATTGTTTACTACATAAAGCTCATGAAAAGGCTTTTTGATTAAAAAGTATATACTAATAAAAGATTTAAAAAAAAAAACAATTGTTTTCTTTTCACACAAAATAAGTTGTTAATACTTATAATAGGTAATTTATTTATTTTCCTTTAAATAAAAACCATTTATCCCACCATCCAAGAAAGTTGCATTGGTACCTTGTATTTAATTTGGAGTGGTTCTATGGTAGATATATACTTTATGAACATTAAATAAAATTATTGACATCAAATTTATTTTTAATAATAATGATGAACGTGTTATTAGTAAATATTTATTTCACCATAAATTACATGCATAGAAAAAGCATTTGTTTAAACAATCATTTCCAAGTGTCTAGCATATTCTATAGTTTGTTCTGCAAGTTCTGCCGAGGGTAAGACGCCAGCTGCTGCCGCGAAAGTTTCCTCTGCTGCATTGAAATGGTAGCAATTATCTGTACCGAGGACCCAATTGCGCTAAAAAGAAAAAAAAATTTAAAAATTAGAAACAATCAGATAGTGCGGAAATAAACTATTATTTATATTTTGAGATATTTTTTAAATCTACCATATACGAGAAAAATACGATGTGGACGTTTTAATATATCGACAATTGCAATTTTTTTAGTATTTTTATAAATTGAAAGAACTGTTAATGCTTATCCAGATTAACAGCGCGATGCGGGATTGCGGGATACGCGAGCAGAAACGCCCGCGATGTAACTGTGCACAGTCACAGGCCACTACGGGCATAATACATCGTTGTTTATTTGAAGACCCCGCATTTGCAGTCTGGGTAAAGGAAACGATGTACCTAAGTGTTTATGATACATCACATCGAAACATTTGTTACTTAATTATCTCAAGATTTTTATCTGTCTAGGCTCCTAGAGACTATTATATATTATACTACTAACCGCATTGATTTATATATTACACTAGATTATTAATTACCGCGCCAAAGCGTTGCCACTGCACATATGGGCACACATATGCCTAGCTGACATCAGTTCAGTGTTCAATGTAACGCCGACAGAGTCGAGCTGAACGATCCGCGACAAAAAATGCGTAGTGAAAGAATACGATTCAAGGTCAAAAAGCATACCTAATAAATCAAGCGGAATCACTTTTCACACATAAGTTCTAATTCGTGTTTTCATATAATGTGTTTCATATAGTGTGTATTTCATGTGTAAGTGAGACTGATATATGTTTATTTAAAATGTTAAGTAATTTCAGAGCTACGTCATCGCGGTTGGATAGTGGTTACACTTTTTTCGACGCGCGGTAATGTGGTTGCTCCTCTAGTATTGTATAACTCAATGCACTAACGTCATCAACTGTCCGCTGAGTTAAGCTGTCGTCAAAATCTTAAAAAAACTTGCTAATGCGAAGTATCAGGTTAATATTGTGAATTTTATGAACAAAATACGTCAGAGTAGGCTGTACGTACGTACGTTCCTTTGCCTTTAAAATAATTTATAGTTTTTGACTGTCAACTGTCATATTCTCGTATCCCAAGTAATGTAACGTCAACGTCAGCTTTGTTATGGTTTTGGATTTATTTACGAAATGACAATCTTTAACCTTGGTCTTTAATCATCTACGGTAAACGTGTACGAATAATGAGGAAGAACAATGGCGGGTAATCCATTTGATTTTAACTGGCCTAACCTCTACGTTTCACTATACAATTTCCTTCCTAATAACATCCCTCGTCCTATTTAAAGTCTTTGTTAAATTTAGTTTACACTCCTTTTGTACAAACTTTATTAGATTTCATATCCATTAATAACATTAAACTACTTATAGTTCTTTTACCACTTATATCCATTTTATTATTTATTATATTAGCAATAATTTTGTAAAACCTATATGTTAATTCATTCGAAAATAACTATCTACCTACTTGTATATGTAAGTAACGAGTAATGTAAGTATTCCCTATATAGTATATTATCTATGGTTAAGTAAGCATTTCTACGGAAACGGAAACTAGTCAAACACTCTGTGTGACTTTCTGAAACTTGACGCTGGCAGAATCCATTGGAAGTTACCAAACTAAGAAAAAAAATGCCAAATAAATTTTTGAACAATTAATTAACGAAAGGTAATGACAAACAATAATCAATAATTATTAAGAAAGCAGATTTTAATTGGAAACAAATTTAATTCAATTAATTACACAATGAAAAAACTTTTTTACATAAAATAATTTCACATTCAAAAGTAGTATAGTATCTACTATATATTAGCACTAACTTCAGAGTCTGAAATTATTATTTTGAAGTGAAAACTTCTTTCAAATCATTATGATTTGAAACTCGAAGAAACCAAAAAGTGTCACTAAAAAGAAATAAACATAATATACTTCTATAGAATATTAGCCTGCAAGAGAATGAGAAAGAATATAGTATACAGTGGTTCTTATTATTACGGTCTCCTCGCGCAGTGCTTTAAAGGCAGTTAATATAACTTTTAACTGTTTAAATAGTTAATAAAAATGAACTAATTTATTAAATAAAGATAATATTAACCATATCGAATAAAATTATCACCTCCGATCCGTCCACGATTTTATAACTTAAGTATTGATTTATATTAAAAGTTTCATTTTGGACATCGAGTGTCTATTTTACATACCTTCTAGAAAGTCAGTTAATTTTTTATAGAATGAACTAGACACTGTTAATACAGAGCAAGATAGATTACAGTTTACAGTGTTTATTGTAAGATTATTTATATTTTATTTACATAAACCCTACAGTTAACCTACTTCTAAAATACTCAACATTCGTCTCATTCTCTGGTAGTTAAGTTTTTTGTAGGTTTTACAACATGTGAATTGCACATATATTGAGAATGAGAATGCCTATAAATGTGAAAAATTGTCATGTTTCTAAAGGGGATTTCAAGGTGTAATAATATCTTATCTACATAAAAAAAAATAATAAATCTTTTGGCTTGAAAAACAGGAGTATATAAATATATAATCAAAGGAGTTATATAACCATCTTCGAGGTACATTATCAATTATGCAAAGCAAAACAACTGCCAAATATAAATTGAGGAAAGATAAATTATAATATTGTTCATTACTGCACATGTACTTAGTATATCACAAATTATTCTAAGGTTTAATTTTTAAAAGGAGCCATAATAGCTCGGATGGTTAGCGCTTGCTGTAAATTTCACAGTATGTGAACAAGCCAGGTTTGATCCCGGCTGGCACCAATGAAATTGTTAGTTACAATTTTAAGAGCTGATTAACCATATGCTCGGCGGTGAAGGAAAACATCGTGAGGAAACCTGCATTTCTGAAAACTACGCCGCGCCGGCTGTCTACTCCCCATCCGTCTTACGAATTTTCGATCAGGTCACGTGTCCTGACGCGAGTTTAACATTTTTTACCCATTACAAAATAAGTATTAAACTCCGCTAAAGAAGTTTTCGCTTCAAAATTTTGAAGACGAAGTTCGCCAACACACATTGGGGCAGCGCGGCGGATACTTCCTTGCACAAAAACTCTCTGCAAAATGATTGGAGGCCTGTGTACGTGCCCAGCAGTGGGACGTATATAGGCTATAATATACAGGTTACTCAGTAACCTAGCTAGGAGACTCGGGTTTCTACCCATTTGAAATTGTGAACTATGAATATCAATAAAGAATTATTATATTATTATATATAATATTACAGCCTATATAAGTTTTTAATTTTTAAAAAGAATAAAAAGAAAACCAATATTAATCAAGTTGAGAAAACTACCAAATTAGCACAAGCGATAAGATGTACATGTAATGGTATGCAAATTTTAATTGACTTGCTTAAATTTAGTCATGCTAATACAAAAAATTCTGACCTATGGAGGACAACCATGAAAAAGTAATAAAGGAGATGAAACTGCTTTGTTGTGAAAAATTATGCAAAAATGTACAGATCTACTGAGCTTCTGTGTAATACTCAGATGATCCTTTGATTGTTAATAAATAAAAAATAGACTACAGACCATTTTGTTTTGTTTAAATTAGTTAGTAAATAACAATCTAATGCAAAATAAAAGTTATAGTATCTAACTGTAAAATCTGTATGTCCCAATTATGCTGGCAAAATAAGTATAAAAAACAGTAAACAGCACTCAGCTACTTATTTTTTTCTTATTTTAAACATAATAGTTAAACCTACACCCCATTATTTGTTATTATACTGATCAATGCTATATTTTGTCAAAAGTAGTTGTTGTGGTAAGACTGTTCAAAAATGTTTAAAATTTATAATACATGTACATACGGTCCACGCGTTTTATCTTGGCCCAGTAGAAGTTGACTTTCTGAGAAATTTGCGCACACTTTAAAAATTAAATAGGTAAAATTTTAATAGTTTAAAAAATTAAAATTTTTTGTTTGTCATAAAAATTTAAAATCTAACCAAACTATTACAGTCTTATTAAAAGATGTAGGGATCTATCAGACAGAAGCCGTTCAGGCGTTCAAGCATTCCGCGTTCTGCGTTCTTTGTGTTGTATTATGTTACATAGACATACCCAGACAGCAGGCATTCTGACCGCGTCGGTCAACCAGAACGTAGGCGTTCGTGATTGGTGAACTACTGAACGCTCGAACGCAAAACGCGAACGCGGAACGCTTGAACGCGTGACCGTTTACTGTCTGATAGAAGCCTTATTCTCTATTTTGAACATATTCGTGGTGATGGGTGGTAAGTGTTAAAAATGGACGTAAAGTCAGTGAAATTACATGAGTACAATCCACACAGATAATTTGGACAATTTTCGAGATGTTTACAATTTTGTTTCGAGAATAACGGCGTCGTAACAGATTCTGCTAAAAGAGCAAATTTTTATTCACGAATTTACATTACTTCCATTTATTTATGCCAAAAATTATTTTTTTATACGTGGTAGAGCCATGCTGCAGTTATATTAGTAGTATAGTTGTAGCACGAATGGGTCGGCTCGACAGGGGAAGGACCACGCTCTCACAGAATACCAGCGTCAAATAGTAGCTTAATGCTGCTGTGTTTCGTATGGTGAGTGTAGAGAACTGGAGACCCTTTTTACTGGAAACGAGGCATTCCATCTTAGTCCTCACGGGTGACAACGCATCTGCATTTAGATTCTAATGATAGACGTAGATGTCTATGCTCCACAGCAACCACTTACCATCAGGTGGACTGTGTGCTTGTTCGTCACCTTATCCTATTAAAAAAAATTAGGTTGGTGTAACATTCAGTGAAATGGAAATAATTTAAACAAATCATTATAGCCCAAAAGCTAAAGAAATATCTGTGTCTTATAAATTTTATAATTGCAATCAAAAGAGTGATGAAGGTTCTTCAGAGTAGTTAATTGCTCATTTACTAACACTAAGTTCAGGATGTAACTTTACTGAGTTAGAAAGAATGCTACATGGTAGAATACGGTATGTGTTACAGTAAGCTGCAATATGAATTATTTAAATGAGACAATTTGCGTTATCGATATGTATTTAATGCGATGTTATCAACCAAAAGTGCAGGGCGAGACGTTCGTATGATTCAAGACAACACAACGGGTGCTATGACTCAAACAGAAGTAGCATTACCATACAATATATATGCTGTACAATCAAGAGTAAATGTCCGCTTTTGTTATTGTTGCTGTGACCACCATTCATGAGTGTCGTATTATAAATACAATGTGCACAAAATTTGGAGAAAATTTTGCATAAGAAGAATTCTTCTCAGCAAATAAAATATATACCAAAAGCTGATGATCATTTAAATGGAGTTTATTGCTTTCATAGTAATAGTCGTGTTTCACCATACGAAGTTGTCACTTGCAGGCGTACCAATTCATATGCAAGTTGATACAGGGGCTAGCTTTTCTCTCATTAATGAGCAGACATGGCACATATTACACTCACTTATCAAATGCTGTGTGGCAACCTATTTAAATATCAGGTACTTGTTTACTTAGTTAACTAATAAAGTAATTTAATATTCACTTATGACAGTTTCGTCTTTTGTCATGCTAACCTTAATACATAACAATATTCAAACTGTGTTTTATTTTTATTCTGAACATATTACCTTTTTCCCATATTCAAGCACAGCTTGTTGTGACGGCAGATTCAATCGTCGAGCAGCCTCAGCACAAGGAATACTGAGATATGCTTTCTCAATGCAGGCAGCTATTTCCCCTCTCACCGTATCTAACAAAGTGTCCATGAAGAGTGTATAACTTTCAGCTGGGACATTACCCTGTGTTATAACAAAACATTAATTTATCCTCTTAGTTTTAAAAAAAATTATTCACAAAGCTTCTTATAGAACAGATTCTCTTTTTTATAAATGGCATATTATAAGAGTAACAGAAACGCAATGAATTTCCTTATTTTCACAATAGCCCTTAACGATTGTGAAAATAAGGTATTAATTAATGTTTTCTCTGTTGCAATTGGCAGTAGCAATTGCCAACGGCTGTATTTATTAAAAATGAACAGGTTCAATTCTGAATTGTTTTTTTTAAAAAGCTAATAAATTACTTAATACAGTCTTCTTTAAATTAAAAATGTACCCAGTATACACATTCAACTAATAAATTTGACAACCATGTGGCTCTTTTGTACAAGTATTATGCCTTATAAGTTATTGCCATAGTTAAAACGCGAATAGAATCATTTTTATTCTATATAGATTACAGGAATACTTATTGAGTGATTTAAGACAGTAGTTCGGAAAAAAACTCTGTCCTGGGAAGAACCAGCAAGAAACCTAGCGGGACTTTTTTGTAACATTAACTTAGCTAACTAGTGTGGCACCAAATAATGAAAATAACAAATTTAAAATTTAAAAAACCCCCCTGAAATAAAAAGGTGATAATCTTCAAACGGCTGAACCGATTTTAATAAAACATCACTAAGAACCACTGCTAGAAAACATACTTTTAAATAAAAAAAAAACTGCACCCAAATCTGTTCACCCGTTTAAGAGCTATGGATATGGCACAGTAAACGGACAGGCACACATAGCGGTCAACTTATAACACCCATATTTTTCATAGGGGGTTAAAAAGTACACACCTTAGCTAAAAAGATTTTGTTGTAACTGCCTTCCATCAAATATTGTTCTAATGCCAATGGATGCCTCACATATGGATCAGCTCTAATCACATCAACAGGAAGACGCTCAAGCTCTGTGTGGAATTCTGCAACACGGTTCTGAGCCAGCAGGAACAGCAAATTTAAACCAAGGAGTTGGTACATAAATGCTGATTCAGGCAGATGGTCCCTAAAATCGTAATACACATATTAAACAATTCTTAAAGTACAAAAGCTAATTTTTGTTATAATACTACATCACATCAAAAATTATAAAATATTTTTTAGTTCACTTTTAATCTCTATTACATTCCCTATATCTTCTAAAGCACTTAGTGTACTATAAAATGGATTATAGTTATTAAGTAGTGCAATTTAATAATATGGAAAAACAAGTTTTTTTTTTAAACATGATCCGGAATCAACGAAGCTATGATATATTTAGCAACTAACAACGTAAAACTCCCTAACAATATTTACTCACTTGTAATCAAAGTAATAACATTTTAATTGTGACATAAATCTTTCAAATGCTTTAACATCTTTGCTTGCTACTGCCCACTGGGCACCAATTTCTAATACATCCCTGGCCAATATTAATTCCTTTTGATTGGCAGCAGCATTATTACTAGGTAGAAAACTCACATGTGTCAAAGCTACCTGCGAACATAACATAATATTAATATGATCCAAATATTTCAAAGAGTAAACCAAAACAGAAGAATCAAAAATGATCCAAATATTTCACTCATAGTAAGTGACAGGGATACATGGCAATCGGGGTATGAGCTGAGGCGTGGGGAGGGGACACCCGCATATCGTCCGCGCCGTCTAAACGTTGACTCACGCTAGACCGTGTCGGGTCCGAGCCGAGTGTCGGCCGTAGCACAGTCAACTAATATTACATATTTTTGTACGGACGAGTGTACTGCATCACGGCCAACCTAGGTGAGTGAGTCAACCTAGGTTGACTCACGCTAGACAGAGTCGGATCCGAGCCGAGTGTCCGCCGTAACAGGGTCACCGAGCCAGTCCCGTGCCTGAAATTACAAAGACTGACCTCGACCAAGCAATTACTGTTGCAGTATTATTTTTTATTATTATTATTTATACATAAACACACTAGCAGCTAAAAAAACTGATGCGTGTGCGTCTTAGTGTTTGGAGATTTTATCCAATCTGTTCTTGAAGGCATTCAATGTAGGAGCATCAATCACATTTTGTGGTAGCTTATTCCACTTGGTGACAACACAATTTGTTATAAAATTCTTCATAGGATTCCGCTTGACAGTCCTATGGCAAAGTTTAAATTGATGTCCTCTCAGATGTTTGTTGCTACTTAGTAAGTACAAATTTGGCAGAGTAGGAACATTGTAATAACCTGTCAGTATTTTGTATGTTTCAAGTTGTTGTTACCGCAGTTGTTTTACCATTTTAGTGGCCCTCCTTTGAACATTTTCCAGTATTAATATATCTTTACGAAAATACGGGTCCCATATCACATATGCAAACTCCAAAAGAGGTCTTAAGTACGTTCGGTAGATCTTGTTAAATATTTTAGGAGTGAGACACATAAAGCTTCTTCGAATCATATACATCATGGAGTTTGCCTTTTTTACTATGATAAGGATATGAGTTTCCCATACTAGTATACTTGTACGAGCAAAAATAGTGTTATACAGTGTTAGTCTTATAGACTACAATCATGTTGAAGTTTGACGATCTGGAAATCGCGGTCATTGCAATCGCTATGGACGATGAAGAATCCGATAAATCTTCAATTACAAGCTGGGACAGAGTTGTTGCCGAGCGTTGTCCATTGCTCTGATGTCACTCGGTATAGCGTGAGTGTGTTCATACAAATATATGTAATATTAGTTGACCGTGCTACGCCCGACACTCGGCTCGGACCCGACACGGTCTAGCGTTAGTCATCCTTAAAGGCTCACGCTAGACCGTGTTGGGAATGTACAAAATTAAAACAAAATAATTATATTCTAAATCGAATCGTCTCTTTCTTAAGGAAAAAATTGATTACGTCCGCGTAAAATTTTGGGAAACGTTTTAATTGTACCAATAACTGTTTTTCAATTGCGATAACTGTTAAGTGTGAAAGATGCTCTTGACCTTGTGTATTTCTCAAATAAGTATGGATAAGCTTCAGAGATGAGAAAGCACATTCTGCGGAAGAACTTGTGGCTGGAATAGTTATGACAAGATAAGCTAACTTTAAAGCTTGGAAAAGGCCTCTTCAAGACTATTTTCGTTTATGAAGTCAATGAGTTCTAAAACATTGCGGTCTTTTAATTCAGAGGAGGAGTACAGTGAAAACAATTGGTTTTTCAATGTTTGTTTATGAAAATGATTTGCGTAATTTTCAAACAATGATTTGCCTCTAAAGGAAAATCTGAACGATATTTTTCGAATTGTTGAAAAATGGAAAAATTTTAATTTGAAAATTTCAGAACAGAATCCGCTACTAACTTCTGAAGATATGTTATTTATTATTTCAATGAAAAGTCGTCTGTATTGTCTGAGCACAGCGCACATTGCCTCTCAAACGAGGAGCAGTTATTTTGGAATGTGTTTTCATAAATGTGATCAAAATCTGACTGAAATTCAGTATGTAACCATGTCTAAAACTCCTTTATTTTATTACTGCAATAACCGACATCAACTTGTGATTTTTGTAAAATATTGTACAAGCAGTCGGTTTTTTGAAATACACTGTGAAAAATTAAAAGAAAAATAATTGAAATTAAATGAACGCAACGTGTTTTTAAAATTCTCGGCGGCCAAGATCGTATCGCCGCGCCGTCCCAGTTCTGCGGATTGTCGCACATATCCGAAAGAAAATTAATCAGACTATCTTTTTATTCGAATACTGTATTCACAATTCGTGTCGTATACGTCCAACGAGTTGCGGAGGTATTAGACAATTTTTTGTGCATCATAAAAAGATGACCGTTTTGAGGTTTTATTAAAAAAATTAAATAAAGCCTGAAGGGCTGAAAAAAAGTACAGACTTACCCAATCCTGTTACAAGATTAAGATTTTTATTTGGAATGCCAAAATATGTGCATTACACCAAATATACATCTTTAACTTTGACACCGGATATGACACTTGCACTGTCATAGCTTTGCGCAACTACTTTTGTGGTGCAGTTATGTTTGTTTAATAATTCCAATATGATATTACATACTATGTCTGCTGTGCGACTTTCAGACACATCCCAACCCCTTTGACTTTTAGACCCCAAAAAACGGTCATGAATATCGTTTCCATAATAATATCGGAGAATCAGACACAATTGCTCTCTGTCACTAACATCGAGAGTTTCGTCAATAATAATTGAAACAAATTTTGACAATTTTACTTCGTACTCGATGCGAGTTTTCATTAATCAGTGACAGAATGAATAATGTCATTTTTAACTGTACTAGATAAATAACTCGGCCGTTTGTAAGTTATTTAAATCATCATATCCAGTAGTATTCCAGGCTGTTTTGTCGTTGGAAAAGAATATGCAGCACCAACAGTACAACTCATTGGTATGCGAGCAGCCAACAATCACATAGGCAATTCTGATACATTTTGGCAGAAGACCTTAAAATACATCAACACATCGACTTGACAAGTGAACCTTGACTTTATATGAACAGGCCTGGATAAGGCCAAGACCAGCCGAAAGTTGACCACGGCCACTTTACTACGCAATCAAACATTAAAAAAGCATGTTGCTGAATATGCACACGCCAAAAAAGGGAGACACAGACTATCTGGAAGTGTATTCAGTGTGACATAAGTTTGTGTATTGAGCAATGCTTTAGAGATTACCACAAACAAGTTTTGCAGTGAATGAACCAAGACTGATGACAGAGACCAAGACTGATGACAGAGACCGTGACTGACTGACTGGTCAGAGGTCATGACTGGTTATGTGTGATCAAGGTACATATACAATGTTTACAAAATAAAAATGTCTAACAACTTTATAGTGTATCTCTTACCTCTTTTAATCATATTTATAAATATGTACATATAATATAGCTCAGATGGTTAACGCTCGCTGTAAATATAACAGAATGCAAGTAACCCGGGTTCATTTCCCGTCGGCACCTATGAAATTGTTAATTGCAATTTTAAGTGCTGATTTACCACAACCTCGGTGGTGAAGGAAAACATAGTGAGGAAACCTGCATGTCTGAGCAATAAGAAAAAAATATTTCGAAGACATGTGAAGTTCGCCAACACACATTGGGGCAGCACGGCTGACACTAAATTAAAAAATAATAAGATATTTTTTTTTGGTATTCCCAATTTTAAGCATTACTTTCATCCTTTATTATTAATTTGAGCAATTTACGTTTAGCTACATTAAATTCTAAATTTTTTGAGCTTTCCGAGAGTATTTTTATTCAAATGTAACTATAGTAGGTTTTCTGTATTCATTTTTGTTGAAGATCTCACACAGTCGTAAAAAAGAAAGTGACATTTAATGTGCGGACAGGTGAGACGAGAATCGCTCGCGCGGCTTAGACGCTTGAGTGGATAGGGAAAGTTAAATATAAATATTCCATTAATGTAGACCGTCAAGATCAAAACAATCAATGTCAAGAAAGGTTCAAGGAACATATTGCATTTCTTAACTAAGCTTTCCTACTCTGTAATCCGGCGGTTTCATACAAGTGCCGAATTGCAGAGCCTGCCCATTGAGCATTGTCATTCTGTAGTCCAGTTCAGTTGCAAGAAGCAAGCCATTATAGATAAGTTTTTCGAAGAAGTTTTGAATGTTGAGACAACACCAATCGTCAAAATTGATTATAGATATTAAATAATAAATGCTTATTCTCATGAAAAATTGCATATTTCACTTGTAATAATTTAGAAATGTTTTAATAGCTTAAAGTATGTGAAACGTTGATTCAATTCAAAGTAACGGGAAAAGACATTCAAAGGAGAGTTCTGTAAGATAGTGAAATTATTACGGCTAAATTGGAAACAAAAGAAATTGCAAAATGTTGAGTCTAAATAGATTTCATATTTTGACAAGTCATCTTGATAAACATACCTTTATTCTGTTTAACAATTCTCCACATTTTTCTAGTTTACGGGGTTTTTTTGCCCATTCGGTTTTAAGGCTCTGATACAATGTAGTTACATCTTTTAAGGAAGCCATTAGAATAATGATCTTTTATTTGTAAAAATATACTAAAACAATGAAGTCTTCTCTCAATATCATACAGCGTAGCATAGACTAAATAAGCATAGACTTCGAATATTTTTTTTATTAACTGGCTTTACGGCTCTGGGTTCTAGCCCTTCTAAGCCATAAATCATTTCTTTCGGAATCTTCCTTTTTATATTCTTTTTCTTCACAATATGCTGATGCGTCACATTGCGAAGATTTTGATGACAGCTCAACCCATCGGACAGTTGATGAAGATTGAGTTAATTTTTATTTTTTGCATAAAAATGACGGTAAAAAAATAAAACAATAAATTTGTAGATTTCGCATGCGCAATCAGCACCCGATATCAGTTTATCTATAAGTTATTAATTTACATTGTAAATAATTAATTAAATAGTCCCATAACCTCAGCCGCAGCATCCGAGCTCCGAGAGTGCAATATCCCTAGTACGCTAGCGCTTAAAGCGCTTTCTTTAGTTGGCAGCAACAGCTTCCTAAAGAGTTTTGCCAAACACCCATATTATTTATGACTTTATACTTTAAAATCTTTTTAGTTTCCATAAAAAGTTAGTTATAGATTGAAACCTCTGTGAGGATTGTAGAGGATTGAAGGAAGGAGGAAGATTGTAGAGGAGAGGAGGATTGGAGCCTTTGTAGTAGTTGCATCGCTGTGATATTGGGTTATCTTCTGGCGGTCATTTGGAAAAATTGATCATGTCTCTGCGTAGTAACACGATATCCGTGTGCCGTTCAGCCACATCTCCAGTATTGGGATAACGTGATCACAATCTTGATATCACTTTTTGACTGGTGTGCAGGGCCTCAGGGCCTCGGCAACGAGGTGTTGAATAGCAACATTTTATCTCGACTCTTTCATTAATATCAGTAACAATATTTTGACAGCTCCGTGACCCAGTGGCTTAGCAATGAGTTACAGCGCTAAGGGCCGCGGGTTCGAATCCCGCACAGAACAGGTATTTGTATGGCCTACAAGTATCTAATTGCTCCGGGTCTGGATGTTTGTCCTTTTTTGATCCTTTTCCTTGAAATTTGTTTGTAAGCTGCTTCCACGATACGGGAGAAAATCCTAGTTTGGAGTTAACGTTGTTTAAAAAAAATAAAAAAATATAAATTTTCCCTGATGTAACGAATTACTAACAATTTTGCCACCATCACTGACCTCTATATATACAAGTACGCTGGACTGGCTACACCATAGAAAATGACTGTGCCAATTTGAAGCGCCACTAAAGGATGTCTTGAAAAATAAAATTGACATAATATGCCAAAGTCTGTTGTCATATTTAATTTGTCTTATTTAATAAATCTGTATTTTGAACTTTTAAACTAAAAAACGAAAGTATTTTATGTAGTTTGATTGTGTATAATATTAGTTACATAATAAGAATTATTTTTATTTATAATGATAATGTGCGTAATCTGTAAAACTCGTTACCAAAGGGGAAGTTGTATAACATTTCACAAGTAAGTGAATTTGCAGCAAATATTATGAAACAAATTAAAACTATTTGATAATATAAGTACTTAAAATTTGATACTAATCTTAATATCATATATACCAACATCTTTGGCTGTATATTACTGAGTTTTGATAAACAATAAAATTCAATAGGGTTGTCGAGTTCCTTGTCTATAATACTTATCGATGTTCTTTCCTACCCATATCTGTTAACAAACAAAAGTCGCCAACAACAGACTATTATCAAATGTTTATTAATTAACAGGTGGAGTTAGAGGACGCGAAGGGCAGTGTGGCTTGTTTCTGGTGTGCCTTATGTGAGAATCAAAACGGGGGGAGAAGTCAGCAACTAAGGAGGGGCTGCCATTGGGCGGCATTATTTACACTTACGGCAAATTATGTGGACCTCAAATCTTGGATTGGGTTTTATAACATTTGTATTTTGGTTTAAGTTGATTTACAGGTTTGAATGAATAAACTCTACCACCAACTACCAACTCTGGAGTAACAATAGTCTGAATTGGCTTCTCTACGTTTGTGTTACAAAACGCAAAATGAAGTTATCTTGGTGTAAGACCAAAGAGTAAAATTATTCGAGGGTTAGTTACTCGGGTTTAACATAGTATTTGTTCGAATCCATCCTTAATACACGGTTAAATAACCGTGTAATAATGTTATGGTATTATTTAATATAATGTTGTCCTTAGTTCTTGGATAATTTCATCCGAAAAGCTCGTATCTCTATAAAAGTTTCCTCAGTTTAAGATCTTTGTAGAATATTTAGAGACGATACCAGGAGACCCGACGGTATGGGTTTGGTTGCTTGAGAGAAAGAGAGGTGAAGCTTTAGTGTGGGATACTACTTGCGAACACTTTGACAGCATCCCATCTCAGGGGTACCTTGTCTAAAGCAGAGGTGGCATTAGAGGCAACTGAACTAAGTAAATAGCCCAGAATATCTAGAAGATGAGTACATATTTGTGCAATTTGCTGTAGAGACTATTGGTCCGTAGGGTGCACGTGCGGTGTAGTTCCTAAAAAACTGTATCTGCGACTGATCTTCGCTGCTGGTAATCAGAAGTTGTTTAGTTTGTTGTTTCATCGCTTGAAGGCTAAATATAGCCATTCAGAGAGGACACGTAGCCAGCATTCTTGGAATGATACCACGGGAAGTAGGACTGTATGATAATTTCTGTTATTTTTTTAATATTGTTATTTTAATTTCGAAAATGACGTTGTAAATAACTGATAACTATATAATTCAAAGTTTATATTTTTTATATTATTTTGCTAGCTCGTTCGCGGTGCATTGAAGTAATTGTGGAAATATCGTTAAAATGTGAAACAATTATATTGTATAATTAGGAATGATAATACAATCATTGAAATATAATGATATGTAACTTTCTATAACTTTCAAATAAATAGTCAGTATAATACGCACGCCACCTAATGTCAGTTAATTATACCATGCGTATAACCTTCGCACAAGTGCAACCAAAAAGTTGACTAAGTTTTACCGCAATCTGATGAACGGTATAGCATCGTAGAAAGTACCAACAAACATAAATTTTTATATAGTAGAAAATATTTTACTGTCTATAGACAGACCTTTAGTTGATTAGAATAGGCGTTATTGTAGCAGCTGATTTGTTTTTTATAATACTAGAACTAAATGAATGGTTGACAAATTATTTTAGAAATTATATTTTTATTTTTATTTTGTGTAGTTAGTTTAATCTTAATAATTTTTTTAGTTGAATGGTCTAAGGGCTACGATGGCTATCCGAATACAGAATCGGAATACAAAACTAATCCAACTGTAGAGATGTGTAAGACAGGGTAACGTAACATCCCCGAAATACTTTACCGCTGCGTTGGAAGAAGTTTTCAAGCTACTGGACTGGAAAGGATACGGTATGAACGTCAATGGCGTGTACGTCACTCACCTTAGATTTGCCGACAATATAGTCCTTATGGCAAAATCGCTGGAGGACCTACGCACTATGTTCAATGACCTCAATAGTGTCTCCCAACGGATAGGTCTTAAGATGAACATGGACCAAACAAAAGTCATGTGTAATGTCCATGTCACACTTCACTATGCCGGTGGTTTTTGGGAGCACTTAGCTGAAGTTGTTGACGAGTATTTTTATTTGGGACAAATAGTCCGACTAGGTAAGTTCAACTTCGACCGACAGGTCAATCGACGGATTCAACTCGGCTGGGCAGCGTTCGGGAGATTACAACACATCTTCTCGTCAGTCAGTGTCAGTGATGACCTATGGATCTGAGACGAGGTCTTTCACTGCTGGCCGTATGAGGAAGCTCGAAGTCGCTCAGCGAGCTATGAAAAGGGCTATGCTCAGGGGTTCAAACTTAGGAATAAGGATATCTAATGATTTCTTATATTTACGCGAACACTACACATTGAAATAATACTAGTTTTTACGGAATTTATCGCGTATATTTTAACTTTTTAAATACCCGACGTTTCGAACGCTTTACAGCACTCATGGTCACGGGCAGGACTGAGATGTTCAGCGTCCATATGTCATAGTTAACCGCGGTTACCATAGATTAAAATTTAACTTTTGTTCCGATCTATGCAGTATGAACTTCTCGGAATCAGACTTCCCGGAGCGTCGATTCTTCACATCAGCAAGTCTGCAGTCTGTGAACACTTACAGGATCGCCCCCGTCACTACATCAGATTTGATAGACCGCAGATCCTCGCTAAAGAACACCGATTCCTTGCAAGGATGATTCGCGAGGCTATTGAAATCAAAAAACATCCTAATTTCAATAGAGAAGATGGCTGGGTGCTACCATCTGCTTGGGATCCTATAATAAATAAAATTAAATCCCAACCCAAGCATACAACTGCAAGACTTCAAGATACCATAAGTTCATACTGCATAGATCGGAACAAAAGTTAAATTTTAATCTATGGTAACCGCGGTTAACTATGACATATGGACGTTGAACATCTCAGTCCTGCCCGTGACCATGAGTGCTGTAAAGCGTTCGAAACGTCGGGTATTTAAAAAGTTAAAATATACGCGATAAATTCCGTAAAAACTAGTATTATTTCAATGAGGATATCTGCAGCAGAACCAGAGTGACCTACATCACACAATGGATTAGTAAGCTGAAGTGGCAATTGACCGGCCATATAGCTCGAAGAACCGAAAACCGATGGGGAAAAAAGGTTCTCGAGTGGCAGCCTCGTACCGGCAGGTGAAGTGTAGAACGTTCCCCCACTAGATGGAGTCAAAACCTGGTAAGACATACAGGAAGTTGATGGATGCAGGTGGCTCAGGACCGTGCTTTGTAGCATTTCTAGGGGGGAGGCCTATGTTCAGCAGTGGACTGGTGAAGGGCTTTAATGATGATGAATGATAATGGCATTACATTAATATGATACATAAATAGAATGGACGTTACGGATAGAGTCCATCTGTACATAGAGTCCATTCTATTTAGGTATAGGTAGGGTATAGAATTT